AATCATGTGTCACACTTCAGCTTTAAGGTTTTACTGACTGACAATAAAAATATCTCATTATCTTCACTGTCTTCCTGCCCCATGGATATTCTTGTGTGGTACAAAAAGGAATTACTTTTAGTCTCGGTCCTGTTAAGGGTGCAGCTGGGGGGTTAAAAGGCAAGGCTGTGACATACTCCCAAATAGCCATTAGTGGTCCCCCCTCCCCCACCTTATTCCACCCTAACATGTGCAGGAAGCCATATAGGTTTTTGATGACTGAGTTTGGAACAACATAAAATTACTGCAACAAAAATCCAACCACTTAGGATCACCTGGTTTCAGTCCAGCTATCTAATGAATTAAAAAAGGCGAAACATTTTTCTGGGTTGTTTGTTCTTATTGGCAGATTGTAGTTCCTCATTTATGGCTTTAAGCAGATATAAAGGAGCTTGACTAATATAAGCGAATAAAGAAAAGGAGTTTTAAAAAAATATTTTTTTCCTCTGGACAAACTTTTCTCTGCCGTTTCTGAGGTTTTTGCGCTATTTTGGAATGTCAGGCGTCACATTTTCAGCAACAAGTACCTTATAAAATCATTAAAAAACTTTGACCTTTTTTAAACATGTTTATTTCCTTTTAACAAACAAAATTTAAATTAGTAGCGTCCAGCAGCTCTGGGTGTTTAGTGGATTTTTCTCTATTATGTTTACACACTGAAATCTTTAACCATAGTATTTTTTACTATTTATTTAGTTAATTATCTGAAGCTCAGTTATTTAGAGGGTGCTTGTAATATTTAGGTTTAAGTTTTGTCATAAATTCTCACATGAACTCATGTCTAGACTTTATACTGAACTATTATGCCACTACTGGACCTGTCTGAAAATAATCCTCCACCTCACTCAAGTTTTTTTTTCTGCCTCTGACAACTTGTCACAAACAACTAAAATCTGACAAAAGTAATAGTATATAAATAATCAACTTTCAAAATCATTCAGTTTCCTTTTGGAGTGATGTGATTTCTAAATATTTAGTGTGATCTTACTGCTGCCCCTTCAAGAAACTTCATACCGTTACCCAGCAACACTGTCTGCTTTTATTGATAAACTGTATTTTCTGTTAAAGGTGCAGTAGGAGATCTTTTCTGACGCATCTTTTCTGAGATCTTTTCTGCCCACAGCCACTTAGCAAGCAGTCAAATAGAAGGTTTGGAAGTGACACTAAAATAAATGGTCCCCACTACAGTGAGAAATCAATCAATAACCCCAACCAGTCACAAAAGAGGTCTGTTGTATACGATTGGTTCCATGACATGTCAATCATGGCCGTCTGCTTGTCCCTCTCCCTTGTGCGCGTACCCTGAACGAATTGACCCCCCCAATGCTCGTGCAGGACGCCATGGCTGGAAGCTAGCCACTGTTATGCTACGTTCACACCTAAAGCAACAAGAGCAGCAAAAACGCACGCGTTGCTTAATTTTTGATGCTTGTACAAGTTTAGTTCTGACGCGTGGCTGACGCATCTTTGCTAGGGTGCCCACATTAGGTAAGGCAGGCGGGGGAAGCACAAGGACGCAGGTGTCCAGATTACCGTCACCAGTTCAGGTTTGGTCATTTCGTCCCTCCGCTGGCTCCCTGTTTCGACTATGTGCTGCACTGTAGTTGACCAAAATCCCGGTTGCTGCTCTGGCTGCGTGGTGGAAAAAGTGGGTCTGATGCACGTTGGGTGGAGCTACCCTATCCTTTCTTTGCCTGTAACAATGGCAGGTATATTTGCTGTGAAGAGTGGGTAAAAAGTAGTTTGAATCTATTTTTAAGTCAGAAAGTCCACCTGAAAAGCATTGTCAGTTTATCCGTATTACCATCCTGCCTTCAGATATTATTTCTGTCGGAGCCGCTCAGATTCCCGTACACCAGCGGTGCGCTGTCACTAGGAATCCCATTCAACAGCAGACTCTGGCCCGGTCGCCTCCGCCGCGGAAAACCGCTGGAAGGCGTTTTTCATGTACGTAATCCAAATTGCAGGCACCAGGATAATAAAAGCAAACATGTTTTGCTGGCAGATTTCGGCATTTTAAGTTAATTTAGCCGTTAATAAAACTGTTTCAGTGGAGTGATCATAGCGCTTTGCATCATCAGCGCTGCTCCTGCTGCTCTAGACACGCTGCAGACAGCATGCGCGTTCATGTGTTTTAAAGGCGTGGTGTCGAGGGGTCTAAAGGGAGAGGCATGGTTGTGTATGTTCAAAAATATAGCTTGCTGGAACCGTTGTTACAAGATCTCCTATAGTGCCTTTAAGTTCGCATCTGCCTGGAGCGGATGTAGATTAGGTCTCCTTATAAGAAAAGTACCCCCAAAGCATGATGGTGCCACTACCATGTAGGCCACAATGTGGGGATTCTGTTTTTTTTTTTTTTTTTGTGGCCTAGCTATGGCACTCTTTAATTTTGTTTTACCTCTTTGCTTCTTTCTTGAATACTCCCTCCCTCTCTACAGTCATTCAGTTAGGTGGACGGCCATGTCTTTGTAGGTTAGCAGTGTTACCAAACTCCTAAGATTTTCAAGTGATGAATTGAAGAGAATTCTGTGTTCAATTCTGTGTTGCTGTGTTTTATAACTTAATCTGACTCGTCGTCTTTGATCTTTGGTCTCTATAATGTTTTTTTCTGTTCACTAACGTTTTAGTAAACCCCTTGGGTTTTTACAGAACTTCTAGATTCATAACAAATTGTTAAATTATGCACTGGATTTTATTTGAGGGCTGAATGAATGCATACCAAACTTTTTATATTTAAACTAGTTAAATGTTGAAACCATTCCTCTTTTATTTTTTCCCCAATTATGCTCTACTTGGTAATAAATCCGTTGTTTTAATGTAAGTTTAAAAGTAACAAAGGGAATACATATCTTATAAACTTTGTAAACAAATGAACTTACTTGGAAAATAGATGTATTATTTATATTTTTAACATTTTGCATGCTTGTCATTGGTCACCTTTTTTGGTGTCAGTTTCTTTTTTTCTTTAGGCTTGCAGTTCTTGACTTGTGAATGATTGTTCCTCCGACACCTCGGCCTCCAGCTGTTTGAGGCATGTGTTATTGTAGTGAATAAAACACAGAGCCAGGCAGTGACAACACTCTGGAATGCCAGTGTAACACTCTGCTCGGCCTCCAGGGGATCAGCAGTGGGCCGCAGCACATATGGTGGGGATTTAATTGAAAAGAAAAAGACAAGCGAACTGGTAGAGATGAGGTGGAAATGGAGAGGACTTACTACGAATGAGAATAGGAGCTGAGAAAGGTTTCTCCACAAAACCCCAGTGGGCCCCTGCTTTCTTTGAGTGGAAAGCGGTGTAAGGTAAGGGTTAAAACACTGGGGAAAGGCAATAAAGGCTCAGAGTTTATGGGTATCACACAATGGAAGAAAAGAAGTGGAAATAATGAGAAAAAAATAGAGGAAGATCTGTGTCAGAAAGGACAGAATAAGAGCACATAAGTCTAAAAATGAAGCCTGTAATGTTTACATTTTGTTGACAATCCAGAAAGGATCATAAAGAGTAATAGGATTGTGTGCAACGAAAAAACCAGTAACTCAGATCTAGATTCCCACAGCCTTATGTAAGCACTGGGTTCAACAGGGAGTAAGTACTTTACACACACACATTTATTAAAGTGTGTAGCTTTTAATGAGCTCAGTTTTGCCTACAGTGCAACAGTTTTTGATTGTAGTCCCTAGTTTATCAGCTCTACTTCATTTAGTATCCTAAGAAAAAGAGGCGTGGTAATTACACACACAAATGAGTGGTTTTAAGCCTGTGCGTCATCTAGCATTGATAATTGCTATGATCTTTGTTTATAGTTCTCTACTTTCTCTATTATTGCACCAAAATACTTTTCTGCCCTCTAGTTTACAGGGTTAGGATTAGTATGAGGAGTTTTAACAAGTCTTGTTTCTATTTTTACCTGGGTGGGTATGTAAAAAATGTTCCAGATATTTTCTACATTTAGTTTGCATATACAGTATGTATAAAGTCTCATGGCTTTAATGACATGCATATCAGCGTATATCTGCAATTGTTTGTAAGCAGGAAGGAGAAGAAAATGTAGATTACAGGAGAAATCGAGCTTGTGAAAAATGAAACTACAGATTTAGAAAAACGTTTTAAACTTTTAAACTCTTTTTTTGCTTTTAAAAGTGAAACCTCCCAGAAATTGTTTCTTTTAAGAGCAATAACATGTTTAGATCTTAGATGTTTATGTCTTTTATTCATCCTGTTGAAAGACATGTTTTAAAACAGGATTTTACCAACATTTTAATTTAAAGACCAGCATCTTTACAAGCTTTTAAACTCCTAACATATTTGCTGGCATGGTTAGTAATAGTAAAAACCTCAGTCCCTGTTTTCTCTGGAATGTACATCCTAACTCTGAGCCTTCCAAAAGTCGGCTAACATCCCAGATCCCAATGTGTTTCATAGTGGACTAAAGCTTAAACGGACAAAACACAGAGCCTTCTGTTAGTGGTTACATCTCGCTCTCTCAGCCTGAATAAATACGTTGATGAATGAAATAAATAAGCTTTTCTGTGGCTTGGTAAAAGAACCTTGGATTGTAACTGTGAATTAAATTAAACACCCTCACTTCAAGCTTTTTGCAAAGTTGGAAACCATTTTAAACAGCTGATTTTGATTTATTTTTTATTTTATTTTTTTTTTCTGTAGCAGCCTCTTTCCAGCCAGCTGACTTGCAGTGCAAAGCAGCTGAAAGTGACCTCCACAGCATAACTGTTATGCTTTAATGTAGGCAATATTAAATAATAGCAGGGTTCTTATTGTCTTTTCATCTCAGATTCATCAGGTCACTATGAAGCTTTTTAATTTTTGGCGGTGTCCTTCCTGAAATCTTAAACTCCATTTTGGTTTCCTCAGAAGCTCATGGCAGAGTAGAAGAGCAGATTTAGTTCATTTTTGTGCAGATAAGTTTCCCGAGTTGTGGGTTTCCTTGACCAGATCTTCTCAGCTACGGGGCTCCAGGTGTGGAGTTCACAGGACTACATAAAGACACCACTGCTGTGACACAGATCCACTTCCTACCTGGTCAGGTGAGGTTAATAACAACTCCTCTTACCTTCTATAAGTTGATAATTTTTTTTCTTTAATGTTACCTTAATGCTGTGTGAAACCTGACTCTTAGGGCCGTCTCCTGTCGCTGCTGGATGACAACACGATTCATCTGTGGGAGCTGGTAGTCGGGCTTCACAGAGAAGTAGGCGGGACAAAGAAAGAGGGCGGAGTTTGTCTTAAACAAGTGGATAGCTACACCCTGCCTGGAAGGCCTGGGATCGAGAGCTGCAGGTAGGATGGAGACATCCTGGAATGCTGCAAGCGTCAAATCTGTATCTTCACCCATTTCTCTCTGCTTACTCGGTCAGTGCTACGCGGATGACTGTCCTCCTCTTACTAAAGTCTTGCGACCTGCTTTGCATCGGAACAGAAGGAGGAGGTGTCTATTTTCTGGAGTTGCCCCGGCTCGTGTTAAAGGAGAACCAGACGCTGCTTCAGGACCAGGTCACGCAGAGGTGAGACGGACTGAGGAATGAACAGGAAGTCGTCTTTATGAAAAAAGGGAAATATAAAAAAGAAAAACAAAGCTTGAGCATTATTTTCAATATTTGGGTCCTACTCTTTATTGGCAATAATATTGGATGACTGTCAGCTGGAGAACTGTCAAGTCAGCAGCCTTTTTCCATAACCTATGTCAACATAATAAACCCTGAACATTCCTGGCATTTAGGTGGATGTTTTATTTTTTTTTGTTGGTTTTCTGTAATGTCAATGTTCATGGAGGACTGATGTGTTTACGTAAAGCCGTCCTACGTGCTCGTCCTCAGTTAGCCAACTTTGTCTGCGCATGCACACTTTTATGTGGTGAGCTACGGTTTCAGCCAGTCATTGACGGGGTTCTTTGAAAATGACAAAGGGTTGAAGAGAAAAAAAGTGTTTATAAAGTGTCTGCGAAGGGGAGAAGCTCTTAGAAGAGAGAAACATGACCAGAGTGTTTTATCTACGTTAACTACCTCTATATTGTAACTTTCCAGCGAAGATAAGTTTATTTATTTTGTAAATTGCATCGTTAGTAGTTGTACGCTGGCCACAGATCCTGATTTACCCCGCAAACATGTCCAAATTTCCACTGCAGCGCACACACACATAAAAGCATGTCATGATTACTTTAATATACCAGTAGTCCTATTTGCAGGGAAACTTTTTATATATAAATATGGATGACTTGAGATCAATCCAAGCAACATTCTTATCATTGCGTCCCTGCAAATCGTCAAGGAGAAATCGGCTCGTGCATGCTCTCGTACACGCTTAATAGGCGTTCCCTCTTGGGAGCGGGTACAGGGTTGTGTGTGTGCATTTTCTTTCAGAATTTGCGAAAATCCTCTACTATACCTTTAAGGATTTATATTATATCATAAAAACCCAGTTTAATATGAATAATTGACTAAAATATCCCTCTATATGAGTGAAATTGATCAACTTTTCAAATAAATTTTAATTTGTTTCTAAATGGCCTGTAAGTGATGCAGAATGGCTGCATCTTCATACATCTTTCCTTCTGTGTCTCTATTTTGTGTCGCAGTGCAACTTCTAGCAAACCCTTAACAGTCCAGCTGAGCAGGTCTCTCACACACATCTGCTGATCCAGATGTTATTGTTGTTCTTAGCAGCAGCAGGCTGACCTGGTCCATGATGTTATTTGTTTAATAAGGTCTTAAGTTTTTTTTGGCAAAAAATGGAAAACTTGAGAAAATAAAAATTGAAACCATAAAGAGTGACGTCACTGTTCTGCCATCACTACATGATGATTGAATCTGAACCTGTTTAAGTGTGATGGCACTTAAATAGATTGTATTTGTTTTCATCATGGCGGCTGGAGCCATCCCTCGTTAACCGAAGCCAGCAGAGCTGCGCTGTAGTGAAGGCCCTGTTTGTTTGTGTGTGAGTGAGAGAGAGAGAGAGTGTGGAAACGATTGGAGATTTCAGACAGTGATGCTTTTTACCAGCTGCCAAAACTCTGTGTTCCGGTCGTGTTTTAGCTGAATGTCCAAGCGTCCACATGCAGAGGAAAGGAGCTGCGTGTGAATCCGAGCACACACAGACCCAGAGATCTATGGTCCATTGCCAGGATTCTGCAACAGGATGCTGGATTCCCTAAAAATACTTGTTAGCAGACAGACAGAGACAATGGCACCCTTTTTTTTTTAGGAATGTTTCTGGCTCTGTGTGTCTGGAGAGAATCCTCCTCAGCAAGCTCCGGTGCAGCAGGCAGATGTTTTGTCCGTCTGTGTTAAGGCCTTGCTCTGCTTAATCAATACTGAAGAGTCCAGAAAACCTCAGTGGTTTGGATTTCTTCCCCTCTCTGCTGCTTCCTCTCCCATTCTTCCTCTATCTCTTTCTCTTGGCTGAGGGATTCCTCTGACATCTCCAGGGTGTGTCATGCTCCACATTCCTGCTCTGCCTCAGAGGAATGTCCAATCCACAACCTCCAACTCTGCTCCATCTTCATGTTGACAGCCTGAATTGTAGCTTATCTCTTCTGCTCATGGTCGATTGTTTTATAAAAGAAAGAAACGGTTTGATGTAAACAAAAGAGATCTCTGAATCAGCTGAGAACATGAACTGTTTTCAGCAGCTTCTTTCTTTCTGTAATCGTTATCCCTCCCGTTCCTTTCTTTGAAGTTTCTAAGAGCTTGGTTCTAAGGTTACACACAATTCATTGAATTTCATACAATATTACAATGTATAAAGGTAAATGGGTAAAGAAATAAAAGTGAAAAAAGTAAACAAAATACAAATTAAATATATGATCAAATGAGCAATATTAATACATAAATATAATAGTATTAAATGATAATAAACTTCATCAGTAGAGGTTTGGTTTGTGTTTTGTCTTGGAGCTGTTGTTTGAGTTTAATCTATTGTTTCACCCAGTGTGCGTGTGCGTGTGTAACACACCGATACATTTGGCAGGAAAGCAGTTCCTCATGATGCTGCCACTGCTATAGTTCTCAGTTATGTCTCAATCTATCCATTTTCTGCTGATCTGAGGTCAGATTGACTCATCCTGTAGGGATCCATAATCATTTCTCGAAAAGACGGTTAGGTCATCCACATTTGCAGGAGCAAACTTAATGAGGAAATGATGGCTACAAAAAGGATATGTTGTCTCTGTTGCTATTTGAGCTTTATTTAAATATAGGTACGGTATGATTAGGCGATAGTTCGAGGGAAGTTAGCCACTCATTCTAGTTTTGCTATAGGTAGTAGCAGAGCATGGCAGGAGAAGTTATATTTAAGTTGCTCTGCTAGTCTTTAAAAAAGGAAAAAAAAAATTTCAATTTTTTTTTTTTTTTTTAAGAGCTTGGAACATTCTGGGGCTAAAAGGGTTGTTTTCATGGACCCAGAGGGACAGTGAATCTTGAACCAGCGATCTTGCTGCGCCTCTATAACACAGACACCTTCCATCTCTAATGTGGTATTTATTATTTTCAGAGGTCCCCATGGTGTCCTTTCAAATTCCAGTTAATACCTGGAAGTAACCAAAGATCCTAACTTCTTGTCAAATCTTTCTTTAATGGGGAAAGTTAACAGATGTTTTCTATTTTTGTATGTTTATTTATTTTTTTCCTCTTCATCCCCAGCCTGCCAGATGACTACAGATGTGGGAAGTCACTGGGACCAGTGGAATCCCTCCAGGAACATCCTCAGCAGCCAGGGAAGATCCTGATTGGCTACAGCCGCGGCCTGGTGGTCCTGTGGGACCTGGGTGCTCGCCATGCCGACCAGCTGTTCCTCGGCAAACAGGTACATCCATCTCAAAGCCTAGGTCACATTATTTATGCGTTTTCATGTCTGATTGTTGTGTGTTAACCTTCCTGCAGCAGCTGGAGAGCCTGGTGTGGGAACGCTCTGGAAGCCTGTTTGTTAGTTCCCATAATGACGGAGGCTACGCTGTTTGGCCTGTAACCAGCGGCAACACGTATACTCACCAGCCAGCATCCTCCACCATCCCGTACGGTGAGAAATGCTCATGCAGACACACTCATCATGTTACTGTTGTCACCGCTTGGATGATGTTTGAGGCGCTGGTGTGATCTGGAGAAGTTCTCTTTCCTGTTTAGACAGTCTGATGTCCAACGTCTACATGAAAGGCCACGACCTGCAGAGTCTTTGGAAGATTAGTTTGCTCTTGTTTTGAGCTAATTAGATGGGATGTAGAACTATGGCTGCTAAAGCTTTAAACTTGTCTTCTTTATATTTTCACAGATTTATCTGTTTGGTTTGTACATAAAGACACATGGGATGGTAGTTTTAGTTGGACCACATGTTCTCACAGTTTGTGTGTTTGACTTTCAGGCCCATTTCCATGTAAGGCCATTAATAAGATCCTGTGGAGGACTTCACAGACGGGGTAAGTATTTAAAGCTTCTCTTTAGTTGGTGTTAAAACTGCTTATGATTTCTCTAAGCAGTTACTTATGTAGCTAAATTGGGGCCATAAAGTTTATTTTGGGGGGGAAAAAATGCATACCTTTTTAAAAAAAAAAAACATTTTTCAAAAAATTTAATCTGGAAAAAGAAAACGTTTGTTCAAAAGAAAAAAAAAAAAAACATTTAAACCTGAAAAATAAACATTTGTTTTAGCAATAAACTACTTTTCAGATTCAAGTTTTATTGTTTTTTTTTCAAACTTTGTTTTTTAGCTTTAAACTTGTGGCCATGTTTTAGCACAGACGGTGGACAAAATAAACTTGAAACTTTTTTTTTTTTTTTTTACTTATTTTCCCCCAGGTTTAAATTGATTTGTTTTGCAATGTTTTAGCTCCACAGTTCATCACTAGTAGTTCATAGTTATTTTGATATAAAAGCAGTTTGAATTACTTTATCCAGCATTTCTTTGAATTTTAGTTTAATATTTTTTTTGTGGTGAGTTGGATGTTCCGGGGAAAAATGCCTTTTAGTAAAAAAGACCAATTTTTTTTGTAGCTGTCAAGAAAAGCCACAGTAGAGTCCCAATGCTTATAGGTCAAGTGGTTGTTTTGCTGTATGCTTGGAGAGTTGATTTTAGAGAAGTATTGGAACAGTATTTTGTAACAGCGGAGGGTCTTTATCGGTATAAAAAAACTGATTGTCCAGAAGTGTCTCATCCTGACCTGAGAGAAAGAGAGAGAGAAATGACAGTAAAGTTAGTCAGCATGATTATATTTATGAGCTCTATAATGTTTTGTGCTGTTTTGCTTCCACTAGTTCTCCAGTGCTGTTATACAGTGGGGGGATGCCCAGAGCCAGCTACGGTGACCGCCACTGTCTGTCCATTCAGCAGGATAAGGAGCACGTCACCCTGGACTTCACATCTCGAGTGATCGATTTCTTCACTATCCACAACATGGAGCCGGACAAAGGTGGACCTACAGACCTGCATCTTTTCATCAGTTATTTATTTTAGTTGGTAATTTCATTCAGACAGTAAAACTCTCATATTACCGTCATTTTCGTACTATAAGCCGCGATTTTTTCCCCATTTTTCGACCTTGTGGCTTATATAACAATGCGGCTTATCTATGGACTTTTACAGCTAACAGCCACTAGGGTAATACCTAAATCTATGGATTTGATCATCCACCATGTTGACGTCACATTTGCTTCAAAACACAAGTACGGTAGCCGCGCGAGGGGGAATGCAGAGGTCCTCCAGAAGCAGACTTTTACTGCGAGACAGAACGACAGCGAGAAAGATGGACATTAAACATATAAAACCTGCGGCTTATAGTCCGGTGCGGCTTGTATATGTACAAATCATGCAATTTAGCTTCTGCGGCTTATATTCAGGTGCGGCTAATAGTCTGAAAGTTACGGTATATGGATTTTTTTTTATATAAACAATACATTTTTCAAGGATTTATTGGCGTTTTGCTAGCTGTTCCGTGAGCTCTAGATCCAAGCAGGTTAATGGAAAGTTTAGTGGAAGGAAAACATGTCTTTTTTTTATTTTTTTTTTTAAAGTGCACCAGAAAAAGTTCAACTTCAGCCTTAAGGGGATTGTGTAGAGAGGTGGTTAGAGTTTTAAGGGGCTTCTTACGGTGTGGCTCCAGTGCAGGGGCTGCAGCCATGGCTCTTTGTGTGAAGCCCCTCCTGAAATGGAGACTAAATCAGTAGCAGTGTTTCAGGTTTTGATCTGACTTACTGGGAAAATTTATTCTCTGTGGAGTTCTGAGATCTTATATATATCTCCATAACCCATTTTCCTTCTCTTTAATCCTCCTAGAGTTTGATGACCCATCAGCTTTAGTGGTGCTGCTGGAGGAGGAGCTGGTGGTGATTGATCTTCAGACCCCAGGGTGGCCCACTCTTCCCACGCCTTACCTCGCTCCCCTTCACTCATCAGCCATCACCTGCTCCTTCCACATCTCTAGCGTGCCTCCTAAACTCTGGGAGAGGTTAATTAACGCAGGCAGAGCACAGAGGAGCCGACAGCAGACACACATGGTGAGGAATCTATAAAAAAGGGGGCTTTTCTTCAACCAGTGGCCTCCGTGAAGATTTATCTGTAGGCTTGTCACTGTAAACATCAGGGTCGTTTTTTTTTTAAGTGGTTTAAATGTTTAATCCGGATAATCAGTCCGTGGGAATCCGAGGTAAACGGCTTAACCTGACATGTTGGAACATAGCATGGTTTTCTCTCCACGTTCATGTTTACTTTCAAGCTTCAACACAGAGTGAAATGCTTCTTTTTTTTGAGCAACCTACAAGGTATTGTTGTGGAGTCTAACTCTTGATATAAGGATAAATGACTGTGTTCTTAAATAGTTGTTGTGAGCAGTTAGTCTTTGAGCTTGGGTCAGCTGTTTGATTGGATGCAGATTAGACTCATGCAGACGGACACAAACAGCTGTAGTGTTCATAAATCACCGCTCTATGTTTGCGTGTGGCAAACCCAAGAGATGGGTCGTATATAAAAAGCTACAAAGGGCCAGAATATAGTTGCTGCTGTAAATATTTGAGCTGAGGTCACGATGACATGGAAAACAAAGCATTTTCTTTTCAGTAAGTGAACAATTACTGCTGCTTATTTTAGAGCCCTAATTTGCTCCAACTCTCCTCTTCTTTGTTCTGTTTATGCAGAGCTGGCCCATATGTGGAGGGAAGAATCTGGCTCCTCAACCCAAACAGCAAGAGCTGCTTTTAACCGGGTTTGTTCTTCAACACACTTTTACTTTATCAGAAGTCTTACCCTTTCTATTGTATCTCAGTGAAGGAAACTTAATCCAAAAGGGGGATATGAGGTTATGTTAGAGTGTTTATGTGGTTTGGAAACTGCAACCTGTAAAGCTGTGATCTCTGATACTGATAACCAGATTATACACACTGGAACTCTTGAAATTTAATGTTTATCTGAACAAATGTACATTATTTTCGAATCTCTACGCAGGACAATGTTACATTTTTTAAAATTTTGTCTGTGTTCTCTTTTGATTATTTGATTACTTGTGTGCAAGTTTGTTTTCATTAACTAAAACTAACAAAAATACAAAAACTAGAAAAAAAAAACACTTTCTGTGACTGAAATGATAAAAAAAAAACTTGAACCTGGTTAAGTTAAATGAAAACTAACTAAAACTGAAATAAGAATGAACAAAACTGATTAAAACAAAAATTATTTTAAGAGAAATTGGATTAGTTTTTGCTTGTCTTCATCATAATGCAGCTGAAAATTATAAAAAAAAAACGGAACTTAAACTACGGGTTTTCAAGATATAAAAATTTAACTAAAGTAAAAAATGAATATACGAAAAAGGAATTAAAACTAAAACAAAATTTAAAAAGTCTAAACTAAATAAAAATAAGAACGAATGACAATTTCAAAACATCTTAAACCTTGGTTTGTTGAAAGCAATATAAATGCTCAGTGGGGGGAAAAAAAAAGAAAAACATCCTTTTGTGATATTTAGCATCACTAGACGAATGCCATTTACTACATTTATGTTTAAAAAAAAAAGTTGAATGACGGATTTCTTTTTATGATCTTAGTGCCTTAATTTCAATCTTTTAATCTCTTTTTATGTCTTTTTATTATATACCTGTCCTGTAAACATTAAATAATGCAGATCAAATGAAAGAAAAATGCAAAGAAAATCCTTAAGTAAACAAACTGGTCACAGTTTTACAGACATTAATAGTCTCTGCAGGTTGAGAGCAGAGTTTTAGCCTTGGCTTCCTGTGCAGAAAAATCCCCTTCTTTTACTGAGCCACAATCATCAGGCTATGATGCATCTGTCTGTGAATAATTTCTCTCATGTCAACAGGCACGAGGACGGGACGGTGCGCTTCTGGGACGCGTCGGGTGTCGCTCTCACGCCGCTCTACAAGCTTGGCACGGCCAACGTCTTCCACACCGACTGCGACGAGCCTCACGACTCGAGCAACGACCAGGACATGCAGCAGGAGGAGGAGTGGCCTCCTTTCAGGAAGGTGGGAACTGAAAAGACCAGTTCAGACCCAGGATCCTATTTCAGCAGCTGTGGGAACTAATTCAGCCTTTCTGTTTTACACACTCTCAGTCCTTGCACTCTACATCTGCAGCCCTTATTTTCCATTCAGATGCTTTTCATGTGTTTGGATTTGAGTCAGAAGCTCCTCTATTGGTCTTGCAGTTAAAGCTTTGCTTTGAATGAGCTGCAGTCTGATTGTAGTTTAAATAAACTGATTTAGGGAGGGAAGATTGAATAATAGCAGCCAGGAAGTAAATATTGGAGAGTTTGGGTGTGTCAGCAGGATTAGCACATATCATGTGGGATTTCAAGTTGAACAGCGATGGGAAAATAATGCCTTAATAAACAGGTCTACATATTCAAAGGGACATTCTTTGTTTCCTCTGACTTTTATCTCTGCTCACATGGCTCATCTTGAGTCTCACGGCAACAGGGCTGCGTGTTGAGGAATGTGGCCCTCATATGGGATGGAGAGACCTTCCCCCTTTTCTCAGCTGTAATGAAAACCAGACCTATGGGCCGTCTCTCTATCTGCGTGCATCCAGCTTCTCCTGCATTTTGTTTCGCAGAAACTCTGCTCCAGCATGAGCAGGATTCCTGTGTGGGAGAGAATGAGAGGCTGACGACAGATTAATGTGGATGTTTGCTGGGCATTTATGAAGTTAATGTGGGGATTTTTCCTGGGGTTTAGAGAAGAGGAAGAGCTGATAAAGAGGAAAAAAATTGTAAAAACGTTTGCTTTTCAGGAATGAATTCAAATAATCCCCCCTGTTGCTTGTGCAGGTGGGATGCTTCGACCCGTACAGCGACGACCCCAGACTTGGCATCCAGAAAATCAGCCTCTGCAAGTACAGCAACAAGCTGGTGGTGGCTGGAACCGCTGGCCAGGTGAACATCCACTCCCACGCCTCAGAAATCTCTGCACGGCAATCACAGAACGACAGCCAAGTCGGATGTCACCTTCTGATTTAAAAAATGGGATTTATTTGCTAACTTTCTCCCTGCAGGTGATCGTGCTGGCTTTCAACGATGAGCCGTCGGACCACTCCGTGGACATGTCTGTGGTTGACCTGCTGCAGGACAGGGAAGGTTTCACCTGGAAGGGGCACGACAGGCTGGAGCCGCGCCTCAAGCCTGCACCCTTCCCGCCGGGCTTCCAGCCCCAGGTGCTGGTGCAGTGCCTGCCGCCTGCTTCGGTCACGGCTGTGGCACTGCACACAGAGTGGAACCTCATCGCCTTCGGGACGAGTCACGGGTTTGGGCTCTTTGACTACCACAGACGAAACACGGTGCTGGCGAGGTGATTATAAGACAAAACGTGGAGATTAGGACCATAAGGGATGGACTTATTTAATCAGTGACTGCTCTTCCTCTCTTAGGTGCACCCTGCACCCTAATGACTCGTTAGCGATGGAAGGTCCACTATCCAGAGTCAAGTCCTTGAAGAAATCCCTGCGACAAAGCTTCAGACGCATCCGGAAAAGCAGGGTGTCTGGAAAGAAACGTGCCATCAACACCCCTACCAGCAAGGTGGGAGATGTTCTCCTGCAGCACATGAAGCAAACAGAGCTCTTCTTAGCAGCTAATGGTTTCCTTCTTTTAGGTGCAGGAAGCAAATGCTGCTTTGGCAGAACAGGAGGAAGTGGCTCCTGTTCAGCGGCGGATTGAGCCTCGGTCAGCAGACGACTCACTATCAGGAGTGGTCAGATGTCTCTGCTTCGCTGACACATTTCTGCGTGATGGTTTGTTTGCCTTCCATTTTTGGCCACTCTATTAATATTCCTTCAGTTTTTTTTAACCCTTCTGTTCGTATGCTCGGCACGCACCTTGGATGGAGAGGTTGCCTTACCCATTGAGCTTTTTTAAAAACTTTTCTCTTCCACAAAATTTACAAAATATTTTTAAGCATAAACATGTCAAAGTTTGGTTTGCATTAATATTTAATCAACAATTCAGTAAGACCATGGCAACAAGCCTTTAACAGTCTATTTGTATCTGTTCCTCTTTCAAAGAATTTGATGTGTGGGTGAAGAGCAGTTTTTAAGTTTTAGGTCTGTCCATTTTATCCCATTAACTTGCTTTCATCGGAGGTCTGCAACCTTATAAATTCAAAGAGCCACGTAACCACAAAATAAAAATTGCCAAGACCCATTGGAAAGATTTTATAAATATTAAAAGCCAAGGAAATCAATAAAAAATGTCCCCACAAACTTTATTATTTAATATTTTTTCAAGAGAAAACAATTATTTAATTTTGGAAAGAGTCAAGCCAGGTGAAACATCATAAATATGAAAGATGAAGGACAACACAGCCCACTTAGCAATATAACTCACACAGTTGAGGCCAGAAACAATCAGCTGCCTTGTACCACTGGTGATGTGCTGTTATTCAGCTTGGTTATAGCCACACTGATGAGGTCAAAGAGCCACCCTCAGCTCTAGATCCACAGATTTGCGGCCCACAGGTTTAAACTGTTGCTGTATTTTCCGGACTATACCTCACTATAGGCTGCACAAATGAAGTTAAAGAAACAAACTGAAAGCTTACATTTATAAGCCCCAACGGGTTATAAGCTGCTGATATCTACTGAACTGTCCCGAAACAAACCTGTAGGGGGAACTCTACACATCACCCATAGAGTAGGGACGAAGAAGAATGCTAGTATCTTTTTAGCTTCCTTGACTTGACAGCTTTAATGGGGTAAATAAATGTCATGATGTGTAAATTTGGGATGTTTGTTCTGTTGTACCTGCTGCTCTCATGTTCTTTTGCTAAATAAAAATGAGCCCCTTCCTCTTTGTTTTCTAATTTTGACTTCCACGGAAAAGCTGCGCCACTGTATAGGCCGCATGGTTCAATGTGAGGGGAAATAGTAGCGGCTTATAGTCTGTAAAATATGGTAGATTGTAGCTCCAGCTCGTATTAGTAGGGTCTTCCTTTTTGCCTCCATCCATTTTCAGATTGACTGAGCCTCCCTGTTAGAGAAGCATGGTGCTGCGCCAACATGTTTCACCAGGACAACATGCTCTGTTAATTTTCCTCCCAGATGAGTTTGGGATGAGTGTCAAAAGCTTCCCCGTTTTTCACATGAGTAGTTTCTTCCTCCTGGGCTTATGATGAATTTAAGATTTTATTTCATTACCTTCTTTTGCCAATTCTCACTTCAAATTTTTCTTTTGGTTTAAAAAGTAACCAGAACTCCTGTAACAGTGGATCCTTGCATCCCTATCCAGAGCCACCATAAGGCCTCCTGCCTGCTTCCCTAATATATTCTCTCCTTCCCCAATCTTTCAACTTTGCTGGATGACCATGTTTTTTTTTTTTTCAGGGGACAGAACAGAGCTTAGTGAGTTTATCAAAGCTGGGGATGTTACTTCCCAGTTCCAAACTTTCTCACAGCTTTTAATGTTTAATTTAGGTTCACCTGGGATTAGGGGACTATATAGGAATGCAGGCCACACTTAAGTACTTTATATATCAGCCCTGATATATGATTTTCTTTTTTCTAACCCAAGATATCCCTATTAAAGTTATAGTGGGGCTTTTGAGAGGGCGGGTGTTTTCAAAAATTCGTGAAAATCCTCCACTATACCCTTAATTGTATGTTAGGGATCACTAACATGATGCAGGTCTGGAGGGTAGGAATACCTTTTCACACCTCTCTGGTTGTTTATTCAAAATGTAATCCCTCAACCCTGTGTTTGTGGTGTAGGTACGCACCATGGCCCCACGCTTTGGGCTGGCACCAACTCGGGCAGTGTGTACGCCTACGCTCTGGAGGTCCCAGGCGTCGGGTCAGGCCGCGTATGCGAACGGGGAGGAGCGAGCGAGAGCAGCACGTGTGTGGAAGCTTTGCTGGGTAAAGAGATCCAGCTGATGCACAGAGCTCCGGTGGTGTCTATAAGTGTTCTGGACGGACGAGGGAAGCCTTTACCAGATCCGTATGAAGCTTCCCAGGACCTGGCCATCGCTCCCGACATGACCAACGCTCACTCTGTCCTCATCGCCTCAGAGGAGCAGCTCAAGGTACGACTGGAAGGATAAGCTAACCTCTGGTGTTTTAATCACAGGGCTGCTGTGTTACAGCCTTACTGTTTTCCTCCTTCAGGTGTTCTCTCTCCCGAAAGTGAGCGCAAAGACAAAGTTCAAGCTGACGGCACACGAAGGCTGCCGAGTTAGGAGGGTCGCCTTGGTTCTCTTCAGCTCAGCCGCTCAGGAAGACTACAGCGAACACGCGCTGGTCTGCCTCACCAACCTGGGAGACATGCACCTCTTCACCATACCCGGCCTTCGACCTCAGGTAGAGCGCTGCGCATCCACGCCTGCCGCTTCAGGAGGTTTTTATGATCTACCTCTGATTCTGTTGTTTTGCCTTTAGGTGCGATACGACTGCATCCGTAAAGAGGACATCAGTGGCATTGCCTCTTGTGTTTTTACCAAGAATGGACAGGGTGAGGAAACACACTCTAACAAATCTTTATTGGTGAATAACAACTATAAGTCACAGAGACCTGAGTTTATCTGGCATGAAGTTTTAATAGATCAGAAAATCCTCCAGGCTTCCTCACAGTAAGTGTCACACACTGATGTATATGTTCTGCCTTCCACAGGGTTTTACCTGATCTCTCCTTCAGAATACGAAAGGTTTTCCCTCTCTGCCAAGATTCTAACAGAACCGCTCTGCTCCGTTCAGCTGGACCGACCCCTAGAACCCACAGCTACCTGGTAATATCCAAACACTTTTACAAAAAAGGCTTAGATGTAGATTCACTCTGCACTTTATATATATACTTTCTAAACCTTTACACAAGTAGATGTTAGAGAGAATGTTAGTTACATTTAATCATCCATCTAATTCATTTTTCAAATTGTTTATAAGTTTAAGAAAAAGACCTAATAAAGAGTTTTTTTAATTAAAAGTATGATTATTGTCAACAAGAATGAAATTTTTAGGTCTGTTCCTGACTTGATAATAATGACTCTTGGAAATGTTGGAAGAACATCTTTATAATTCAGTCTTTATCTTTTTGTTTTATAGATCTTAAAGGAAAAAAGTCTCTCAACTAATTGGTCAGTTTTCAATTGAAGGATCCGTTTAGCTTTTTATCATCGTTTTAAACAATTAGTAAAGTAGAAAGTGTTCATTAAGATGGTAAAATGTCCTTATTTCATAAAGATTCAGTGAGTATTGTGGAACTTTTTAAAGCCATGAACCTCTAATGGCTACCAGCCCTCCCTGTGATGGGAGTTACTGCTCCATAATAGTTCCTCCTCTCTGTTCTGCTGGAGTCAGATTCCTCTTGCAAAACAAAAACTGCTTTGCTTGCTTCTTGAAAAACAGAAACTGTTATTAAAATTAGTTTCTCTGCAGTGAATAAATAAGTTTTTCCTAATCCTTAGACGAGGTTACTTGCTTAAACTACTAGGTTAGTTAATTTAGTTTTTCCTTTATTGAATTCAAATCAGGAAGACTGGAAATGTTGACTTATAGGCTTCTGTTGGTTTATTAAATTGTAAAATACATCCCTGCAAAAACCTTAAAAAACTACAAGTTTGATAAAAAAAAAATCTTCATTAAAATAACAAAACAAAAAAGGTGTTGAAGATGTAAATTATTTGTATCAAAATCGCCTGCAAACTATCACACATCACCTCAATATTGGGGAATATTCAGAATAAGGTACCAGCATGCTGTTATCTTTTTTAGGATGAGAATATATTGTTTTAGCTGCTGTTCATCTTGTTCTGGTGTCGTCATAAATCTATATATGCTCTTTTTATTAAGCTTTCCATCTTTTACCATCAGCTGGGATCCACTTAGACGTACGTGAAAGCAAGTGATTCGCCAAGCTAAATGAAGTGCCTGTGTGTGTCTCCACAGTGACGGTCCAACAACGCAGCCGCAGGCCAATGGGACCCACAGGAGGATGACGGGTCAGGCTGAAGGTTCGTGTGATCAAGCTCTCTTCCCTGTTCTCCCTCCTTATCTGTTAGAACTTTTATTTTAACAAACTCTGAAGCTTCTCAAACTGGGGCCATCCCTCTCGTCCTGTCCGGCCTCCCTGACAACCATTGAGCATGCCCCAGTTGGCGCTCCAACTCTGGCAAGGACTGCTGGTTGTTATGGAAACGGTCCAGGTTTTTTTCAGGCTGCTCTTTCTCATTATTAAGCAGCTTTACAACAGTGGAAATTTATTTCTGATCCAACCTTCATCAAAGCTCAGCACAGTGATACCCCGACCAGCTTTGTAACGATGGGTCGTATACATTATTTATTTCTGGGTTTTATAATCGGCTCTAATGGGTTTAACAAAGTTCAAAGATGTGTCATTTATTTACAAAGATGAAGTTAAAACCAGATATTTACATAAATGAACAAAAAGAGAAGCCGCCATTTTTTTTTTCCTTTTTCTCCAATGTCTGACTTTAAATAAGACTTCAAAATCAGAAGTTCACGAGCTTCAACTTATTTTGGCCCATTCCTCCTGTCAGGAGGACTTTGTGAATTATCTTCTTGGTTTTTTAGCCACTCTGTGAAGACTTTAGTTTATTTAGGGTCTGGTTATTTACAGGAGTTATCTCAGGATTTCTGCATGTAATTGGCATTATTATTCATTAATTCTGATTATTGTGGCATTTAGAATTATATAAAAAAAAAAAAAAGTTTCTAAAAAACATTTTTTCAGATATAACTGGTTCGGTGTGTGTGCGTGGAACTGCTGTTACCCATTGATCGTAAAGCCGTACGTTCAGAAAAGAAGCTCGAGGCAGATAAAAAGTTAGAGAATGGGGGAAAATGCAAATTTCAACAAAAGTGGCTAGAAAACGAGGAATTCGGAACATGGCTGCAGCCTGTCGATGGTAAAGATGACGAAGGAGTCATGGGTACTTGTTGATGGCATGAAATTATTTTTAAGAGCACTAAAAAGCATTCAATTAGAGTTACTTATTCCCGTATAAACCCTGAATCTGTACCTAAGCTTTAACTTCCTGATTTATGTTGCTTCAATTTGACAAATTTTACTATTTATTAAAAAAATAAAACATCCATCTTTAATTAACATCATGGGTAAAATAAATAATTTTTGCCACGCTCTCTGGTTTCCTCGCCCTCAGGACGAACGGAGGAGTCCCCTAGCTCCCTGTCCTCTCCCATCCCAGAGACGCCGCTTGACTCCCCCCTCAGCTGTGCTGACCTCACCCTTGACACCACCGGGGAGCTCACCGTGGAGGACGTCAGGGATTTCCTAACGTAAGCAAACTCCTCCCATGAAACCTTTCTTCTTCCTTTAGAAAGCCTAAGTAATGGCGGTGTATCTTTTTCAGAACTGTGGATGAGGTAGAAAACAACCTGAGGAACATGAAAGAGGAAGAAGGCCGCTCTGCTGGAATCCTCATCAACTGAAGAGGTGAGGAGTAGCGTCTAAACTTTGCACATCAGCTCGTCTAAATGGATGCATAAGATTGGTTGAGTTTTTTTTTTGTTTTTTTTTTTGTCCCCAAAGCATTACCACCACACCTGTTTTTAATAGAGCCAGTCCAGCCTGCGCATACTTCAAAGAGTAGTTGTGTCTGAGCGGAGCATTCCTTCACTCTGGCAGACGCAGCAACGTCAGCGTTTTATTCAGAAGCTCACACATCAAATTCTTTAGCTAAGTTTTCTCAGGGGTGAATGTTACCCTTTAACTCAGCACTTTCCACTTGCTTCATATTTAGATAGAAACTAGAATATATCTATTTAAATATGAATTTAGGACAGATATACACACAGGGAACTGGCTACATAGCAAGAAGGTAGAAACAGAAGATGTGTGCTCTAATATCTGCTTTATTTTGGCTCTCTACTGCCCTCTTGTGATTCTTCTAAACACACGCGAGTGCATGCTGTGCTGTGTTGTTTACATCTCTGGAAGTTTTTTATTTTTATCATTTTGCCTTTTTTAAGATTAATTGTCATTCCCCCAAAAACGACCCCTCTTCAAAGCAACTAACTGATGCTGCAGTTTCTCCTGGAGTGGGAAACTGAAGCTGCCTCATACGGCACACTCAAAGGCAATGCATTTGTTAGGTGTAGTTCACGTTAGTATTCCTCATACGTTGTATTTATGAATGACTTAATGTATTCACTCCTTTTTTTTTTCTCATTTTGTCTTGCTGCAGATTTTAATGGGTTTTACTGGTATTTTATGAGATGGACAAACACAAAGTATCTCATTAATCTGAAGTGGTTGTAAACTTATGCCTGGCTGGTAAAACAGCATCATAGATATTTGTCTTCAGTGCTTAACAGTGCTGTTCCTATTGGTGCATTTATATGAAAATGGGTAAAAAAGAAATACTTTTTTATATTCAGAAGGATCCCTACAACGGATATCAATACCTTTACTTGACTAGATTCCCTTTTCTGAGGTAAAAAATACATTTGATTCAGTTTCCCCCCCCTGGCACACTGTCCACTAAAACCTTTGTGGGTCAAATATGCTCCATCTGATTTAATCTAGATTTGTACCAACTATAGTCAACATGTGGATCTATGAAGTCTGAGGCTTCAACAAAAGTTGAAAGGGTTTTCATGGTATTTTTCAGTGTTTATTTTGGAGAAAATTTAGCCAAGAAAAACTTAAGAAAACAATTTTTTCTCTTTTGAATCACCTATAAATAACACATGGTGAAGTATACAATGGTGGTTACATTTTAAAAACTATTTAATGACTTTCTGTCAGACAAATACAAACTTTTGAATGTATACTTTATAATTTTGGAGCTGTACTTGATTTATATCAGATAATTTCAGGTGGAAAACACTCCTGAAAATCTCTGGGATTGAGGGGTTAAACAAAACATTTGTATTTATACTAGTGAAAAGTTGAACTGTATTAACTTATCAGGTGTTTTCTGGAGGAAATAATTTCTGGAGGAAATAATTTGCCCATTCTTTTTTCAAAGGAGGTTAAATAGAAATGGAAACCACAGTTTTTAGATTTTTCTCTTTTAAAGGAAAAAAATGCAATCAGTTTAGTCATGTTATCCTTTCTTTTGACCAATCACCAAAATCCAGTTGCAGTGACACAAAATGCGACTGAGTTCAGGGATGTGTGACCATGAAGTCTGCACAAATCTATTCAATTATCTGTGACTAGTTTAATCATGATTTGTCTTTGGTTTTATTTTAAGGAACTTCCTGGAGCAACTCGAGTGGTTTCCTCTGGATCTCAGTGCTGGACCACAAACATCTGACACGGAGCCACCGAGAAGCTCTTCCCCTTTAAACTGGTACAAGCTGGGAAGGAAACATTAGATTCCTCCTGCTGGACAAACAAACTCCTTTTCTATAACCACTCAGCAAACACAGAGGGACCAGTGGAGCATCCAGACGGACCGCTTCCTCATCCGCCTCCTCCATCCTCGGCCCACCGAATGTTTCTGCATGGTTGGAACTGGTCCATGGTTTAAACCTGATGTGATGGAGGTGCAGTAAAACAGAAGGTTTGCGGTTTAAAGTACAGAAAAAAAAAAGGAAAATGAAGTATTTTTTAAAGGTGTAGCATCCCCATTCCTCTGATTTCAAACAAGGACTGCTGATTGATTTTTTTTTTTTTTTTTTGCTTTTCTGTGTGGAGGTGGTGCGTAAATCTGCGGACATCGCCAGGATGTTAGGTTTTTGCTGACATCGACAAAATGAGTATTGGAACAATGTAGGTGTTTTATACAGCAAAGATTGTTGCTCTATTGAATGTTTTTACGGTAACGTGAGAAAGTATAGATATTTTATTAACATATAGTTGGCGGTAGAGGAAGCGGGGGGAACCCACACTGTGATTTTAAAAGGGAACCAGCTTGGAAGTGCTGGCATTAAAGCATCACTATGATGGGAAGATTACTGACCTGATACATGATGAGATGTACACAGTTCTTCTGTTTACATAGGAAAGTTGGACTTTTTACCATCTGTTCGGTTAAAAACTAGGATTTAAATAAAATGTATATTTTTTCAGATGGAGAGTGGGAATAAGTGAATAAAGGTTTGGGGGAAATGGAAGTGGCGCCCAAAGTATGTAGAGGGCAGAGTTTGTAAAGGAAATCAGATGTTATGAAATAAAATGGTTCAGTTAGCCAGTGAGCGAAGCTTCGACCAGCAGTGTTTTTTAAACCATTTTAAGCGTTTTACAGCCTCTCAGATTTAAACCCGGGATTCAGCAAGTCCGAGTCCAAAAAGGGCTCGCTGTAAAACCTGGAAAACGACCTCACTGACTAATGTAGCTCAGCTGCTAGAATCACTTTTGTTTTCAGCCTTTTTTTGTTTCAAAAATTAAGAATGGGACATTTCATTAACCCTTTCATGCACAGTTTAGCCTTTTAATCCCACTGAAATGAGCTATTCAGTTCCATTTGTAGGAATTAATACGTTCTTTAGCATTTTGGTTGAAAAATTGTGAATGTTAATAAAATGTATTTACTCTGAGATGTCTTTCTTTTTCTTGGTGATAATTTAAATGGTGCAATCGAAGCACGTTTGTCCAGAATTTAGCAGATTTTAAATGGTTTGAAGAAAACTGAACAGTGGTGAATTTTTTTACCTTATTTTTTCTGCTACAAGATAATGTGTTCATGTTGTAGGCAAATGTGAGATCACACTGTAAGGAAATTTACATCCACTGTATTTACAACCACTTCGTCTGAATTCATATATTATTATATATAAAATATGGGAAAGGATTGGGGCCGTTGAAAACAAACTGCTACTCCAAAAAAGGCTATTCTGATTTATTCTCAGTTTTCTGACTTTATAGTCAGAATTGTGACTAATTCAGATCTCAGAAATCTCACTTTAATCTTCTACTTTAATCTCAATTTTATTACTTTAATCTCAGAATTCTGACTTTTTTCTCAGATTCAGATCTCAGAAATCTCACTTTAATCTTCTACTTTAATCTCAATTTTATTACTTTAATCTCAGAATTCTGATCCTAACTTCATTCTCAGAATTCTGAAAAATTCTGACTTTTCTCATAATATTGAAACTTTAATCTCAGGATTCTGATTGCATTTGCAGAGTTCTGATTAATTCTGACTTTGATGTTAGAATTCTGACACATTTTCACTTCGATTTCAGAAACTGACTTTTACCTGACTCTAATCTCAGAGTTCTGACTAATTCTGATCTAATTATCAGAATTAGGACTGATCTCAGAAGTATTCCGAATTTTCACTGATTTCGGAATTTCTAATTCTGATCAGAATTCTAATTATGACTCGAATTTGATCTTGGAGTTCTGACTTTATTCTCAGAATTAAGTCAAATTTCTTAGAACTCTAACACCAAGCCCAATATTATCACTTCGATAAAGTACAAATATTAAGTCATAATTCTATGAGATTGAGATTAAAGTCAGAATTCACTAGCCTTGGTTTTGATTTGCTGTATTCTTTTTAAATGGCCCTAATACTCTTATATAACAAACATGCATTAAGGTTGTTACTCTGAATATAGTATAGTTGCATTTAGTAGAAGAAACCTGAATTCAATTACTACAGTGAGGCCAAAATATATTTAGTCAGCCAATGATTGTGTGATTGAGTTCTCCTACTTAAAATAATGAGAGCACTCTGTAATTTTCATCATAGGTACACTTAGAGATGAAATGAGGAAAAAAAAACAGGAAAGCACATTGTAGAATTTTGAAAGAATTTATTTGTAAATTATGGTGGAAAATAAGTATTTGGTGACCCATAAACAAGCACGATTTCTGGCTCTCCCAGACCTGTAACTTCTTTAAGAAGCTCATTTGTCCTCCACTCGTTACCTGTATTATTGGCACCTGTTTGAACGTGTTATCTGTATAAAACACAGCTTTAAACAGTTACACTCCAAACAGCAGCTTGGTGTGAAAAAAAATCATCTGTAAGACATACAAGACCACTGATAATCGACCTCAATCTGGGACACCACGCAAGATCTCATCCATGGGGTCAAAATGATCATGAGAACGGTGACAAAAAATCCCAGAACTACACAGTGGAATCTGATGAATGCCCTGGAGAGAGCTGGGAACAGATTAACAAAGGCTACCATAAGTAACACACTACATCTAGAGGGATTCAAATCCTGCAGCGCCAGACGTGTGCCCCTGCTCAAGCCAGGACATGTCCAGGCCCGCCTGAAGTTTGCCAGAGAGCTTATATGGATAATCGAGAAGATGATTCGGAGAATATCATGGTCAGATGAAATCAAAATGGAACTTTTTCTCAACTTGTCATGTTTGGAGGCAGAAGAATGCAGAGTTGCATCCCAAGAACACCATACCTACTGTGAAGCATGGGGGAGGAAACGTCATATTTTGGGGCTGTTTTTCTGCTAAGGGGACAGAAAAACTGATCTGTGTTGAGGGAAGAATGAACGGGGTCATATATCATGAGATTTTTAAGTCAAAACCTGGAACATCCAGCACGACAATGATCCCGACCATACTGCCCGGGCAACGAAGGAGTGGCTTCATAAAAAGCATTTCAAGGTCCTGGAGTTGCCCAGCCGGTCTCCAGACCTCAACCCCATAGAAAATGTGTGGAAGGAGTTGAAATGCTGTGTTGCACAGCGACGGCCCCGAAACATCACTGCTCTAGAGATCTGGAGGAATGGGCCAAAATACCAGCTACAGTGTGTGCAAACCTGGTAGAGACTTACAGGAAACACCTGACCTCTATCATTGCCAACAAAGGTTATGTTACAAAGTATTGAGATGAACTTTAGTTATTGACCAAATAGGCCTACTTATTTTCCACCATAATAATCCTACAATGTGATTTTCTGGATTTTTTTTTTCTTTCTAATTTCATCTCTCATAAAAATTACAGACCTCTCATTATTCTAAATAGAACTTGCAGCACAATCAGTGGCTGACTAAATACTTTTTGGCCGTACTCTATATGATAAAGTGCTTCTGATTGGATCAGTTACAATCTCAAATCTTGAGACGAACACACTTCTCCTTGCTTGAATTAAGACACCGATTTAAAGCCCTACATCTTTAAAGCAACAAGAACATTTCAGAAAATTCTAGATGCTGTCGACTTTCTCTGACGGTTCCAGGATTTGAGAGGCAAAAAATTTCTACAACTCTGGTTGTTGTGGAATTAACAGAATGCTGATATTTCCAACCTTTAAAAGGAAAAACTGGTTTTAAGGGACTCACTGCAATAAGACACATAAAATGCTCAACACAATTCAAAATTACTTGCATGCTTACATTAAATAAAAAGGCATTTTTTACTGTAAATTGAAATATTTTCCTATCAAATAATCCAAGGTTAATCTTTGAAACGGTCTATGATCCTGGGTTAGTTGTTAGCGTTGCTAGCATTAGTTTACATCCATATTCTCCATGTCCATATACCTGAGAATGTTGATTCAAATGTAGTTTTAAATTCACCATGATGTATTCAAAGCTCAAAGGGGTAAAATGGATCAACTTTGTTTAGCCTTCCTGTTATCAGAAAGAATGGAAACTACAAATAATTTTTAGAATGCCCTAAAAAATATTTAATCCGATTCAAATGCTTGAAACTTAATTTCATCATTGAATATCTCAAGCTTAATGCGTCAACTGTGAAATGACAGCCTGCTGTGAACTGCAGTTCAACCCTCAAAAAGAACCAGAAACAAAACGGGTGTTGTGACATTTTTATTTTATATAAAATACATAAATAAAGCATCTGCGGGTGGCATCAGGAGCATGTGCATGTGTGCAGGAGACTCACACTCCAACCGGCATAGAAATCACCTCATAAAAAATATAAAGACATTGCAGTCAACTCATCTCTTCCCTGGACCAATACCTGCACTTTACACGGGTCACATGATCACAAGTTAAACTACAGTCATCAGAACTTGATTTGACAGAGCCGGACATTCCCTGTTTATGCGGTGGGTGATAAGTGTGATATGAAGGCGCTCAAATTATCTGAGGTCTTTAACCTGTTTGCTGTAAATGTACAGAGAAGCCTCCATCAGCGTCTCCCTACTGATTGCACATTGAAACAACAAAAAGATTCTTAATGCCTGACCTCTAGAAGCTGTCTTTGGCCAAATGCATCTTAAATTAGACTCAAAAAATAAAATGAGCAAATAACAGAATCTCCCAGAGCATTCATTCCCCTACTAGAGTCTGAGGGAAATAAAGAAAAAACAAAAAGGAGAGAGGGGAGAGCATAAAAATCTGAAGTGTTAAGCTGACGATCATTAGAAAAAATAGTTAAATCATAAACGAAAAAAAAAAAAAATTAGTTGGTGCCTTAAACTGCTTAAATAAGCTGAATGAACGGCACCTCCTCCCCTGAAGCCAGGTGAAAGCAGCACGATATGTAAGCAGATAACCCTTCCCTTACGTTTTTATAAATCCTCTGTACATTTTAAAAGATAATTCTCTTATTTAACAGCGTGTGGAAATAGAGTTCATAGAAAAAAAAAAACATTGCATTATTCTGCACTCATTCTCAGACTGTCTATCTCCAGAAAGGTTTGGGATGTTTGGCTGAAAGATGGAGGGCAGACAGGAAGCTCATGGTTTAAATAAAACCCAGCAGGGCGGCAGATTGATTGGGGGAGTTTGGCCTATGAGGGGGGAGTTTTGAAAGGCCCCCAGGCGTGGAAGCAGCGTGTGAAGCAGTGAGGCTCGTTTCCCTTCCTCACCAGGCGCAGCTTCCTCGGATGCTCAGAGTCTTTAGCCCGCATGTGCTGGATGTAAACCTGGAGACAGAGAAGTTAGTGAAAACTATATATACTCATCAGTACTTACTCGACTTTCAGGGGTCCCCGGTCTGTTACTTTCATGTAGAAATAGAAAATAAAAAACTTCAATGAAGGAACGAAAATAAAAACTGGAAGCTGGAAAAAAAGGATAGCGACCAGAAGAGAACATCAGGCAGAAAAATGACAAAAAGAGGACAGCGCAGATGCAATGAAAGGAAGTAGGGACAATAAAGCATAGAGGGACAAGAAAGGAAATGAATGAAGTCATACCTGAGGGACAAGGAAGAAAAAGAACCAAATAAGGGAAACAAGAAAACACATTCAAGCAAAGGACACAAGGTAGGAAGGAGTCCGGCTGGAAAATCTAAATGATGAAAAAAAACCAAAGAAAGGGAAGGAAGGAAAACAAATAAGAGGGTAGGAGGTATACAAGGAAGAATGAATCATTTGCATATACAGATGGATCAGTTAAATTAGCTGGATATGTTCTTTCAAAGAACACAAGATCTAAATTAATAATTTAACTCCAACATCTAAAATGCTCTAACTAATATTTGGCTAAGGCTCTTTGAAAAACCCCCACTGTTGTAAAAGTTAAAGATCAATAAAGAGGAAACAAACAGCATCATCACATTTAACTAATTGTAGTTGCTCAAGGCTCCATTTTAGGCCCCATTGTATTTATATCAATATATAGACATATATTTATATTTAACATCCATTCGGTGCGTTTATGGACCGATGGACATTACATCTCCTACCTTGCTAATATTACAACTAGTCTACTACATAACTGAGTCCGTGTCCAGAATTTAACTGCATCTTTTTCCAGGTAAGACAAAATCATTTATTAGATTTACTAAGATCTGAAAACATACAATAAAGGGCTTCCTGTTAAAACTACAGAGTATTAGTTAAACTGCAACAGTGTGTTTGGTGCCTCTGCATGTAGATCCGCCATGAACGGGAAAGTTACCTGACAGGCTTTGAGGCTGAGTTTGATCTCCACCTGGCTGGTCTGGGTGCCGACCCACATGTAAACCTGCGAGGAAATACGACCCAAAGAGCTTAGAAACCGTCACAAGTCATCAACCCGCTGACACGTCCGGACGAAGCTCTTTTACCTCCTTGCCGTTATCCAGCAACATGATGTCGTCGTCGGCCAAGTCGTCCTGGCAAAAGTCGGAGCACTTCTCCGACACGGAGAAATAACCCTTCTCATTGGAGCACCTGAGTGGAGGAAGAGGCAAAAACGGATCGTTAATCCCACAGAATGTTTTACTTTATGTCCAAAAGTCCTGACTGGATTAATGCAGCGCCGCACTCTCACCTGAAGAGCCGAGCATGTTTCATGTATTCTGCATCTTCGTCGTACTGTTTCTGGGATCCGATTCCAACCCAGAAGAAGTTCTCTGGCTCCTCCCCCTCGTTAATTACCTACAGAACGTTTTTATATCTTTCATTAACAAAATTCTAAGCAAGAAAAAGGTCCTATAATGTTTAACACTTAGAAAGTTAGTGGATTTTAAATGGAGATTATTTTAGGAACAGCTGAGACAAGATAGTCTCTGACCTGCTTGCTGTAGCTCTCATCAAACATGGTGTTCATGATGTCCTCGGCCAGCTTAGCCTCGTCCGGGTCGGCGGCCCGGCCCACCCAGGTGTAAACGATTCCCTGGTTGTCTGTGCTTTCAAACGGAACCTGCAGAGAAATACGTCCGAGTTGCAGCCCTTCCTTTCATCTAAAATGTTTTCATCACCAAGCATCCAAACCTTAAGTATGAAGCAGAACTCTGAGTTGAGATTGCTGGAATCGGTACCAATCTGGATGGTCCTGAGTGAAAAATGGAGAGAAGAACGCAATGATGTCATAGTCGTAGAGGCAAAGATAGACAGTGACAGTGGGGTAGGCTGGGTTTGACCATGGCGTACCTGGTGCACAGTGCGCTGCCATTGGTGCGTATGTGGTAGAGCGACGGCTGGACGTCAGTGCTCTGCTTCCGCTTCCCTTTGTGAATGATAAACTTCCTCTTAAAATGCGACAGGAATTTGAGGTTCTCCTGCTGCTGGGTCATCCGCACCACCTAAACCGTCAAAATACACCTGTTAATAATCTGTTCCAGCAGAAGAAACCAGAAAACAAATGAGCTGAAATCCTTCCTTGCCTTCAGCTTTCCAGGGAAAAGGCTCTCGAACTTCTTCTGCAGGGAGAAGGTGAAGGTGAGCCAGCCCATGTTGGACGCCTGCCTGCCCTGCCAGAAGTAAACCACACACTGGAAGTCCTCCTCAGGCTGTTTGTCCTCTTCGTCCTCGTCCCCCTTTCCTCCTCCTCCTCCACCTCCTCCGCCCTCCCCTTCCTTCTTCTCCTCATCCTCATACTCCACAGGAACCCAGTATCTAAAACAGTAAATAATCAGCCCGGAGATTAAGGCGAGGCAGCAAAGGCAGCACACGAATTTTTGGAGGTGATGATCTGAGTCTACCTGCAGAGGAAGACGTAGCAGTCCTGGGTGTAGAAGTGTCCAAACTCCTCCTCCGGAAGGCGAGTGAACTTCTTCCCCTCCAAAACAAATCCCTCCATGCCGTCCAGGTCCTCGTTCCACTCTTCCATCAGCTGCTCGGCCTAGAGATGGAGGAAGCAGAGAACTGTAGCAGGGATGTTTAGCAGAACAGCAGCGTGGGACGGAGCCAGCAGAGGGTTTACCTCAGTGAGGGGCATGGGGGGCTGGCGGGGGAGGAACAGGGCTGTGAGGTCAGCCTTCATCTGGTCCTTCTGCTCCGCATCCTTTTTCACCTGCGGATAAAATTAGCTTATTGTGATAAAAAATATATACTGCCACAGTTTATTACATTGATTACTTCTATAGATTATATCTGTTCAGCCACCCTGGTTCATTCATTAGTTTTACTTTAATGCTACGTTCACACCGCACATGTTTGAAGCAGCTGGTTTACGTGCAAAATCAATGGCGGATACGAAGAAGGTCCTGCAGCGTGTTTAGAGCAGCTGAAGCAGCGCTTCATGAGCTTCTGATGCACATGACGTGCTTCATAAGCAGCATTTGCTGGAGTTGCAAAAACGGAACTTTTTCTGCTGGATGCCTCACGTCAGCCGATCAGAGAAGCTGATCTGGGAGCTGGCAGGGAGACGGACACAGCACTGCCTAACAGACTATGATCACTCCTCTGAAACTCTTTAATATCTAAATTAACCTAAAATGTCGAAACCTGCCAGTGCATGCAGTTTGGACCTTTTAACATCTCCTTCCAGCCAACACGACCAGTAGCGGAAAAACCCCCCAATAGGCGACCTGGTAAGAGGCTGCTGTTGAAGGGGATTTTCAGCAACAGAGCACCACCGGTGTACAGGGGTTTTGTGCAGTTCCGACAGCAAAATAATAATTAAAGTCAGGACTGCAGAGAAAACATCTGTGAAGTCCGATGTGATGAACGGACTGCACAGATGTTTTCAGCTGGACTTTCTCAGTTAAAAACGTATTAAAACTACTTTTCCGGGGCATCAAAGATGCTCTTGAGGCGCTTCGGACCTTAATATGGACAGGCATCAAAATATCAAGCAGCAGGCGCGTTTTTTCTGCTTTGGTCTGAACGTAGCATTATCCTGCTCACGAACATGCCCTGAGCAGCAAAGGAGCCTCTGTAGCTTTATTTTTGGTGCTCGCCCACATTGAAGATCAGCAAAGTAAAGGTCTGACGGGCATTGGGAGGAGCTACTCACAGCTGTGGATGAAACTGGCTTTATGAGAGAACGCCATCATTGCAGCTGGTTTACATACGCCTTGGCACCAGGTCTGGATTCAGTGTTTTTTTTTTCTTTTTTTATATAAAAGGGGTCAGATATTAAAGGTTTTATTCTTTAATTCATGAATTTGGCTGTTGTTGTGGAACATTAGGCAACAAATGTCAGATTTTCTGAATGATTTGATATACTGATGGTGGTACCAGTGTACAGCTGCCTCGCCTCTGTCAGCGAGCCCCAGGGCAGCTGTGGCTACAATGTAGTTTGTCACCATTAGTGTGTGAGTTTGCACGAGAATGGATGAATGACTGAATGAATGTAGTGTAAAGCCCTTTGGTCAAGTCTCTTGACTTAAAAAAGTACTATAAAAAAGTATAGGCCATTTAACATGTCTTCCAACTCAAACGTCATATGCTTAAATGCTCATGACGCGCTATGCATTGCTGGATCTTTGGAGACGCATCAACCATAGACTTTGCATGTAAACTGGCTGCCTCTGCTGCTCATAACCAGATATGGGGACATCAGAGGAAACTTTAACAGCAGCTTTCTCTTTAAGTTGCAGTTATTCTGTACCTTAAATGTTGGATAAACATCAGGAGTCTATGCCCGAACTCTGCTGTAAAGTTCTTCAATAACCTGACAGGTATACTGTGTTCTTTGCTCTTTTTGTTGATTAATTTTTTCTGTTAAACATCTGAGGCCAGAAACCGAACCAACCAGAGTTTTTGAGTATAACATTTTATAAAGGTAGCCGATTGCCCTTGACTTTATTTATAGCCATCAAAGTCAGGGAGACTGATGCGGGTCACAGTTTTATTGTTGAAAAATATAAAAGTACATAAAAGTTTGTTTTTGTAAAGGAGAGAATGTTTCAACTTTGAGAATAAAACTGGGTGGTCTCTCACCTTGCCCTGCAGGTTATCATTTTGCTGCACAGTCTCAGCAGCTCTTGTGTAATCCACCTTCAAAACATCGTCCCAGTTCTTAAACTTTGATTTAAACACCTGTTGGATGAGGATGAAGAGAAGACCAGCATGTTAAGAGGTGCAGAAAATACCCCAACATCTAGAAAGTAGCAGGTGTGTGGCTGCAGCCTCTGGAGCAGAGGATCTCTCCACCTGACACTCTGTGCCCTCCAGGTTGCGTGTGACGCTGGCGTGTTTGGGTCTGTGCAGCATGGAGCAGAGCTCCTGACCCAGCTTTAAGGCTGCGGCTCGGACCAGACGAGGAGACTTCCTCCCGATCCAGATGAAGACGTCTGACCAGCAGTCCAGGATGTAGACACACTTAGTATCCAGCAGAGACTGTACCTGAGGAGAGAGGGGGCAAAAAAGGAGGTGAGACAAGACAGACACATGGGAGGACACTTGGGAAGAACCGATAAACGTACCAGTCTGAGGTCAGGCATGGTGTCTAGCTTGATCTTGCGATCTTTATGCTCCACAGACAGCTTATAGTTAATCTGAGGCAGCTCCAGGTAGCCCAGACCCAGGCCCACCTACAGGGAAGACCGGTTCTGTTAAACCCTGACAATCCATCAGAGAGACAACATTTCCAGCTGATCGTCTTACTTTGTAGAGTTTAGGTCTGACAGGGGAGAAATCATCTGGCACATGTTTCTTGATCTCTTCTGGTTGTCCTCCCAGAGCCTCCCAGAACCCTGGAGGCTCCTGGTTCTGCATCAGGGTCACTATCTCCGCCTTCCCTTTCCGTTCATTCTTATTGATCTTTTCAGCAAACAACCTGAAGGATTTCAACAACTTAGAACTTTGAACCCACAACAAGAACCCCCCCCTTCTTCTGACATGAGAGGCGACTTGAAGCAGTTTGCTACCTGGCCTTTGTGGTGCCGCCGAGCGTGGCATTGGCTCCTCTCCAGATGAAGATTTCCAGCCCCGTGTCCAACAGGAAGACGAAGCTGCAAGAATAAACAAAACAAAACAAAAAACTGAGTTTTCAATCACAGAAGGAATGGAGGAAAAGAATTGATAATATTCAGTTTGATCAGAGAGGTTGGAAAAAAAATAAATAAATAAAAATAATTCCGGTCACACTGTGGGGTGGGTGCCATTAGCGAAGGAAAAAAGCTCCAGTTTTTTCACACAGATATAAGAAGAAATGAATACGATAACTATAATCTATGATCTGGGGCTTATCCTTATTCTTATACTTTACAGTTTTGGTTTTTTGCACCAAACCTGTTTAGCTGGAATTGGAATTAAAAAATATATATAAACAAAATGATTTTCTGTTGAAAATGAGCCTTTTTAATCAAAATAAAAAATTATTTGATTTATTACAGGGTGAGATGGATGGAATTTTGGCAAGTTTAAAAAAGTACCTAATAATTATACAGTTTGTTTTATTAGACCAATGTCAGAGGAATCCTCTGTGCATGTGCTGCAGGGATATATATGCATATGGCACTTTGGGGGCGTGGCCTAAACACCCCGGACAGGAAGCATGCGATCGAGGAACAGCACCAATATTTCAGTAAAAGACATGCTAAACTATATTTTCTAAGACTTCATCTTTAGTTTCTTAAATTTTTGTTTTATTTACATACATGTTTTTTTTAAATAAGGGTCTTCGGGTTTGACCAGAAGCTGTTGTTATTACTCAGTCAGTAGTTATAAAGTCAGACACTGTCATCATTCTCTGCAATTAACTCTGTTTATGTGGTTAGATTATATTTTTATATATATATATATATATATATTTTTTATTTTATTTATTTTTTTTTTGTTGTTGCAATTACTGTGGTTTAAATCTTTTTTTTTTTGTTAACAGCTCTATTTTATCCCTTGAATTTCTCAAACCTACTTGGGAGTGTCGTTTAGAACCAAAATTGATCAGATAACCTGAAGTCTGAATGCAGCAGAGCAAAGTTTTCCATTCAATGCTCTGGAGCTTTTAAAAACTCTGCTGGGAAACATGTTAGGTATGAAAACGTTGGTGAAAGCCTTCAGTTAAACATTATTTCACTGTGTATTGAAATAATAAAAACATATATTGGATTCTGTTCTCTAAGATGTGGCGTCACCTTTCCTACTAATATAGAGATCATTTTTTTATGACAGAAAGATTAACATTGAATAAATGTTTTCCTCAGTAAACAGAAACTAGAGAACAGGATCGGCCGATCAGAGCTTCAGATCAAACATCTGTGATTCAGGTGAAGTGATTTAGAGCAGTCAGAGTGCTGAGACTTACCGAGGGTCGAGGGAAGAGCCCTTCACCGGCACAGACTCCAGTTTGATGTTCTTCTTGCCGTAGACTCTGTATAACCTGATGAATGGAGAAAAGATAAACATCAGGAGATATTTACCCAGATAGTGAAACACTCAGCTGAACAGCGGAGAATGATTGTTCTGAAAGGCTTCCACCCACCTGACGGTGTAATGCGTGTCCTCCACAGTGAAAAACCCACTGGATGTTCCTCCTTCAATGTAGGAGATCTCATCGTTAAACACCTGAACAGAGGACAAAAATCATCTGAATGCTGAGCTAACAGATATGCTACACAGGAAGCACTGCTGAGTCTGGTAAGGGAGAGCTGGGATGTAAGGATAACCCGACTGCCTGTTGTGGAAACGAGGAATCATGGAAAGAAATGAAACATTTCTCTGGAGATCTGGACCTGCTGCAGCAGCCGGTGGCTAAGGGACCCTGTACGGCATAGATGTTAATCCTGATGACTGAGTTATAAAAATGTGTGTTACTAAGAGGCTTGAATAGGGATACATTTGGAGAACTAAGCTCTAGTGGAGGACATTTGTTTTGGAGATAGTTGAAGATTTAATATCTGCCAACATAACTGTTCGTGTCTCTTCCCTGCCTGCTTAGCGTGTTTTCTTTCCCTGTCATTAAGGCTGATTGTTGTCGCTGAACGCTGTCAGAGTGTGTTGGCCGCCCGGTCAGTAGAACACAACTTATAGGCGGTGAAATAAAAAACACTCGGAGCAGCTTCAGGCTGTAGTCCGGCTGTCCGATGGATCGCTAGTTTACCAGACTCAAAAGTCTGCTGTTTTACAAAATCTCCAGAACCGACATTCTGTGAGGTAGCAGGGATAGTCAGAACCCCGCTTCCAAAACTGCCTCTTCTCTCCTTCCTATGGCTCGAGTAAAACGGTGAATGGGCTCCAAAGCAAAAGCAATGTGATTTAGATGCTTCAGTGTCAGGTCAGCTTCATCTTCCATCAAACCAAATGTTTTATGGTTGTGATGTGTCGCCGGTATTTCCAATGTATACAATTGCTACAGCTCGCGAAGACCAACCCTGTGACATCACCGTCTGAGGTACTGCAACATGGCGGTGCCCTTACCAAAAAAATTTAAAAACAAAGCTTCAGTTTATTTTTTTTCCTCCTTTATATTGTTCAGATTTCCAATATAGTTATTGATAATAGTAAGACACAAACTCATGAAGTTAGTTTGGTTGAACATTTAATTTCCCCTTTAAACGTGGCTCCGATTCTACTTACTGCGCTGAACTCCTCGCTCTCGTCTCCCATCTCCTCTCGAATGGTCCTGCACTCTGCTCCCAAGTAGTTTCTCAGGTTAACGGCATGGATGGCGGCGCCAGCTTTCTTGTCCAACGTCGCCTCCTGACCGATCCAGTAGAAGATCTGCCAGTTCAAGGCTCCGTTGTCGTCCAGGAAGGTCTACAAACAACATAGAAACCCCAGAAAAAACATCTTTACAGCGTCACCACTAATTTAATAAAAAAAAACAAAAAACATACTAATGGTAGTGAGTTGTTACCTTGAGGACGATGTAGCAGTCTGCTTCGTAGAACTTTCCATGTAAAACCTCATCTATCAGCTGGGGGACGAAGTTCTCGATCTGGAACACGGTTACTCCTGGGATCTGTTGAAGATGAAGCAGCATGTTTTAAACAAAACATCTGGCTTTAAAATACCAGGACCCAACAATAGATAAAATAATAATAATAAAGGAAACCTGCCTGTCCCACGTCCTCCAAGAAGAACTCGGAATAATCCAACTGGGGCTTCTCCAGGCTCTTATCCCACCGCCGCACTTTTAGGTCTCCATATTTCAAGTCCCCGTTTTCCTACAAAATCCATACCTTTTTTTGTTACATTGATTATTTTCTCACTCTGAACACAATGAGATAAAGGCCAAAGCATAGAATGAATAACAACTGATTTAAGGTATGAATCAATTTTAGGCTTTAAGGAGAATTCTCCATTTTAAAGTCACAGACTAGAATACTGCAGCAGCAAAAAATGGTTTCATCTATTTAGTGCCACTAACAACAGAGCACTATAGAGCAATCAGAGCAAAGAGAGCATAGAGGAGGATAATAATGAAAATCCTTTTTTAAACAGTAATGGATGTATGAATATCATTGAAACAGCAAATCTTTAAAGGGCATCTCAACAGAGGGTGAAAATCCAACAGATCACTGCTGGAGAGACTGGTTTCCTTAATCAAAACGTTTTAGTGGAAAGTTTAGTGGGAGGAAGCAGTGTACCATAGGTGCAGTTCTGCCAAAAACAACAAACAAAAAAAAAATTTAAAAAAAAAGAAAAAAAAAATGTTGTGGTTTTGATTCCATGCTGTGGTCTTGGTGCTTGTTTTCCTCCTGCTGGTTTCAGTCTTAACAGGAGGGAGTAGGAAGGGTAGAAGACAAAAGAAGGATTCAGGTTTCATTTTCCAGCAGGATTGCTGCTCACACAGCCGACGGCAGCAGGATCTCCTTTAATGACCACACTGCTTTCTGCTCCTTTGATTCACAGAGCTGACATGTTTATTACATGTAGAGAATTCTCCAGATTATGAGACACTAGGAACCAACGATGCAGACGAACTGAAGGTGACTATCAAAGCAACCTGAGGTTAGCCTGATCTCCTCCACACAACAGGAGTTATTTACACAGACTGCTGTGGAGATATTTTATGCTATTTGTTGTAAAAATCCTTTTAATTAGCATTTTGTAATTTTCTACTTCTCTGACTTTGGGGTTTTAACAGCTTCAAACCACAAACATCTGAAATGAACAGAAACAAAAACTGGGAATAAAACCCCTTTATAATAGAATTCAATTATATAACTGAAATCAACTTTAAATATTATCGTAGTTTTGTGAGAGAGGCAGTGTTTCTTCCAGTCGTTTGTTTTACCTCCATGTTTTTCTTCTCCTGAGCAACGTCACTCATGCCTTTCAGGACCTGCTTGGCCTGATCGTCCTGGGAACTGTCCTTCTTCCTCCTCAGCCTCATCTTCCTCGCCAGGTGGTCTCTGGGGCTGGCCCCTGAACAAAAAAGGGATTTGATTTTCACTCCTTAACACGAGCACAGTTTGACTTTAGGTGAAGAGAAATATCTGTTGGGGTGAAATGAATCCTCACAGACCTCCCCCTGCAGCAGCTACTGTGGCAGGAGAAGCTCCGGCCAGACGCAGCTGGTTCTGAAGGGAGAAGTCGATGTTGTACCACTCTGCTGCTCTGTCCACTGGCTTTGGTGGCATCACTAAGCTGGGGTTCTCCCTCACATCTAAGATCTATGGAAAGAAAAAGACACACAGGCTCTGGTATAAATGCATCATAGCATCATGTTCTTTTTCAAATAGCTACTTAGATTAAAAAAATAAAATAAAATGTGGCCCCTACCAATAACTTTCCATCAGCCTTTCAAAAGAATTATGATCCTAAAAAAAAAAAATACTGGACTATTCCACACAAACTGGGACATCTGGACACCCTGATAGATTATAAACTCCCCAGAAATAAACACATCCCATATTTTGATCAGTCCATGTCATGAACATCGGATTAAAAACTTGATATTTTATTTTGTCACAGCTATAAAGAGCTTCTGAAGACAATACAAGAACAACTTTATTAGGTTTTGCGTATTGTAGAACAGTGCATCATAACCTTCCCTCTGCTGGTTGATGAGGAAAAAACTTTGTCACCATGTGTTGTTTTCCCGTTTCTTTCTTGTCAAACAGGAGCATCTGAAATTAGAACATGAACCTAAACTAGGCGAAGTGTAGCGTCTGTACGCGTGTAATGTTGGTGTTCAATATAGTGTAAATAATTAAACTGTTTAAAACAAAATCCTTGTGGGTATGCAGGTTTGCTGCGATTACATGCTGTAACGCATCTGGATTCTTTTTCCTTTTGAGAACCAAAAAACTTTATAGTTCATTGAGACAAAACAACTTGTTAGAAAAAAAAAAANTTTTTTTTTTGTTGTTGCAATTACTGTGGTTTAAATCTTTTTTTTTTTGTTAACAGCTCTATTTTATCCCTTGAATTTCTCAAACCTACTTGGGAGTGTCGTTTAGAACCAAAATTGATCAGATAACCTGAAGTCTGAATGCAGCAGAGCAAAGTTTTCCATTCAATGCTCTGGAGCTTTTAAAAACTCTGCTGGGAAACATGTTAGGTATGAAAACGTTGGTGAAAGCCTTCAGTTAAACATTATTTCACTGTGTATTGAAATAATAAAAACATATATTGGATTCTGTTCTCTAAGATGTGGCGTCACCTTTCCTACTAATATAGAGATCATTTTTTTATGACAGAAAGATTAACATTGAATAAATGTTTTCCTCAGTAAACAGAAACTAGAGAACAGGATCGGCCGATCAGAGCTTCAGATCAAACATCTGTGATTCAGGTGAAGTGATTTAGAGCAGTCAGAGTGCTGAGACTTACCGAGGGTCGAGGGAAGAGCCCTTCACCGGCACAGACTCCAGTTTGATGTTCTTCTTGCCGTAGACTCTGTATAACCTGATGAATGGAGAAAAGATAAACATCAGGAGATATTTACCCAGATAGTGAAACACTCAGCTGAACAGCGGAGAATGATTGTTCTGAAAGGCTTCCACCCACCTGACGGTGTAATGCGTGTCCTCCACAGTGAAAAACCCACTGGATGTTCCTCCTTCAATGTAGGAGATCTCATCGTTAAACACCTGAACAGAGGACAAAAATCATCTGAATGCTGAGCTAACAGATATGCTACACAGGAAGCACTGCTGAGTCTGGTAAGGGAGAGCTGGGATGTAAGGATAACCCGACTGCCTGTTGTGGAAACAAGGAATCACGGAAAGAAATAAAACATTTCTCTGGAGATCTGGACCTGCTGCAGCAGCCGGTGGCTAAGGGACCCTGTACGGCATAGATGTTAATCCTGATGACTGAGTTATAAAAATGTGTGTTACTAAGAGGCTTGAATAGGGATACATTTGGAGAACTAAGCTCTAGTGGAGGACATTTGTTTTGGAGATAGTTGAAGATTTAATATCTGCCAACATAACTGTTCGTGTCTCTTCCCTGCCTGCTTAGCGTGTTTTCTTTCCCTGTCATTAAGGCTGATTGTTGTCGCTGAACGCTGTCAGAGTGTGTTGGCCGCCCGGTCAGTAGAACACAACTTATAGGCGGTGAAATAAAAAACACTCGGAGCAGCTTCAGGCTGTAGTCCGGCTGTCCGATGGATCGCTAGTTTACCAGACTCAAAAGTCTGCTGTTTTACAAAATCTCCAGAACCGACATTCTGTGAGGTAGCAGGGATAGTCAGAACCCCGCTTCCAAAACTGCCTCTTCTCTCCTTCCTATGGCTGGAGTAAAACGGTGAATGGGCTCCAAAGCAAAAGCAATGTGATTTAGATGCTTCAGTGTCAGGTCAGCTTCATCTTCCATCAAACCAAATGTTTTATGGTTGTGATGTGTCGCCGGTATTTCCAATGTATACAATTGCTACAGCTCGCGAAGACCAACCCTGTGACATCACCGTCTGAGGTACTGCAACATGGCGGTGCCCTTACCAAAAAAATTTAAAAACAAAGCTTCAGTTTATTAATTTTTTTCTCCTTTATATTGTTCAGATTTCCAATATAGTTATTGATAATAGTAAGACACAATCTCATGAATGAAGTTAGTTTGGTTGAACATTTAACTTCCCCTTTAAACGTGGCTCTGATTCTACTTACTGCGCTGAACTCCTCGCTCTCGTCTCCCATCTCCTCTCGAATGGTCCTGCACTCTGCTCCCAAGTAGTTTCTCAGGTTAACGGCATGGATGGCGGCGCCAGCTTTCTTGTCCAACGTCGCCTCCTGACCGATCCAGTAGAAGATCTGCCAGTTCAAGGCTCCGTTGTCGTCCAGGAAGGTCTACAAACAACATAGAAACCCCAGAAAAAACATCTTTACAGCGTCACCACTAATTTAATAAAAAAAAACAAAAAACATACTAATGGTAGTGAGTTGTTACCTTGAGGACGATGTAGCAGTCTGCTTCGTAGAACTTTCCATGTAAAACCTCATCTATCAGCTGGGGGACGAAGTTCTCGATCTGGAACACGGTTACTCCTGGGATCTGTTGAAGATGAAACAGCATGTTTTAAACAAAACATCTGGCTTTAAAATACCAGGACCCAACAATAGATAAAATAATAATAATAAAGGAAACCTGCCTGTCCCACGTCCTCCAAGAAGAACTCGGAATAATCCAACTGGGGCTTCTCCAGGCTCTTATCCCACCGCCGCACTTTTAGGTCTCCATATTTCAAGTCCCCGTTTTCCTACAAAATCCATACCTTTTTTTGTTACATTGATTATTTTCTCACTCTGAACACAATGAGATAAAGGCCAAAGCATAGAATGAATAACAACTGATTTAAGGTATGAATCAATTTTAGGCTTTAAGGAGAATTCTCCATTTTAAAGTCACAGACTAGAATACTGCAGCAGCAAAAAATGGTTTCATCTATTTAGTGCCACTAACAACAGAGCACTATAGAGCAATCAGAGCAAAGAGAGCATGGAGGAGGATAACAATGAAAATCCTTTTATAAACAGTAATGGATGTATGAATATCATTGAAACAGCAAATCTTTAAAGGGCATCTCAACAGAGGGTGAAAATCCAACAGATCACTGCTGGAGAGGCTGGTTTCCGTATCAAAACGTTTTAGTGGAAAGTTTAGTGGGAGGAAGCAGTGTACCATAGGTGCAGTTCTGCCAAAAACAACAAACAAAAAAAAAATTTAAAAAAAAAGAAAAAAAAAATGTTGTGGTTTTGATTCCATGCTGTGGTCTTGGTGCTTGTTTTCCTCCTGCTGGTTTCAGTCTTAACAGGAGGGAGTAGGAAGGGTAGAAGACAAAAGAAGGATTCAGGTTTCATTTTCCAGCAGGATTGCTGCTCACACAGCCGACGGCAGCAGGATCTCCTTTAATGACCACACTGCTTTCTGCTCCTTTGATTCACAGAGCTGACATGTTTATTACATGTAGAGAATTCTCCAGATTATGAGACACTAGGAACCAACGATGCAGACGAACTGAAGGTGACTATCAAAGCAACCTGAGGTTAGCCTGATCTCCTCCACACAACAGGAGTTATTTACACAGACTGCTGTGGAGATATTTTATGCTATTTGTTGTAAAAATCCTTTTAATTAGCATTTTGTAATTTTCTACTTCTCTGACTTTGGGGTTTTAACAGCTTCAAACCACAAACATCTGAAATGAACAGAAACAAAAACTGGGAATAAAACCCCTTTATAATAGAATTCAATTATATAACTGAAATCAACTTTAAATATTATCGTAGTTTTGTGAGAGAGGCAGTGTTTCTTCCAGTCGTTTGTTTTACCTCCATGTTTTTCTTCTCCTGAGCAACGTCACTCATGCCTTTCAGGACCTGCTTGGCCTGATCGTCCTGGGAACTGTCCTTCTTCCTCCTCAGCCTCATCTTCCTCGCCAGGTGGTCTCTGGGGCTGGCCCCTGAACAAAAAAGGGATTTGATTTTCACTCCTTAACACGAGCACAGTTTGACTTTAGGTGAAGAGAAATATCTGTTGGGGTGAAATGAATCCTCACAGACCTCCCCCTGCAGCAGCTACAGTGGCAGGAGAAGCTCCGGCCAGACGCAGCTGGTTCTGAAGGGAGAAGTCGATGTTGTACCACTCTGCTGCTCTGTCCACTGGCTTTGGTGGCATCACTAAGCTGGGGTTCTCCCTCACATCTAAGATCTATGGAAAGAAAAAGACACACAGGCTCTGGTATAAATGCATCATAGCATCATGTTCTTTTTCAAATAGCTACTTAGATTAAAAAAATAAAATAAAATGTGGCCCCTACCAATAACTTTCCATCAGCCTTTCAAAAGAATTATGATCCTAAAAAAAAAAAATACTGGACTATTCCACACAAACTGGGACATCTGGACACCCTGATAGATTATAAACTCCCCAGAAATAAACACATCCCATATTTTGATCAGTCCATGTCATGAACATCGGATTAAAAACTTGATATTTTATTTTGTCACAGCTATAAAGAGCTTCTGAAGACAATACAAGAACAACTTTATTAGGTTTTGCGTATTGTAGAACAGTGCATCATAACCTTCCCTCTGCTGGTTGATGAGGAAAAAACTTTGTCACCATGTGTTGTTTTCCCGTTTCTTTCTTGTCAAACAGGAGCATCTGAAATTAGAACATGAACCTAAACTAGGCGAAGTGTAGCGTCTGTACGCGTGTAATGTTGGTGTTCAATATAGTGTAAATAATTAAACTGTTTAAAACAAAATCCTTGTGGGTATGCAGGTTTGCTGCGATTACATGCTGTAACGCATCTGGATTCTTTTTCCTTTTGAGAACCAAAAAACTTTATAGTTCATTGAGACAAAACAACTTGTTAGAAAAAAAAAAAAAAAAAAAAAAAAATATATATATATATATATATATATATTTAAAAAGGTTAGCTTCTGTTTGGGACCAATAAATTGAATTTTGCCATTTTTTTTCCTAGACCAGAGGCAACAAAACCCTTAAAAAGATGAAAACCTATAAAGCTTCAGAGATGAATACTGCAATAAATCAGTAGTACAGTAAAATGTCCAAGATTATCTATTTATAAAGGACTTATATTGAAGACAATTATCAGAATTTTAAAATAATTTGCAGTTTTTGCATGAAAATAAATAAAACCTTTGCTATATTATTGAAAGTTGAGTCATCTATCATTTTTAGCTAAGGTTACTAAGATCCACCCAGAGAGTCACACAAAGCTTCTCAACTGCATGCAGCAGATCCGGAAAGTCCTAAAGAGTTTGAACGAGCTAGCAACAGTAAGGGTAAAAACAGAGATGCTATAACTGAGTTGATGAAGAAATGAAAATAAATATTTCTGAATGAAGCATCTGCTGCTTTACTGCTTTATTTAGCGATGCTAACTGCTTCAATATCCAAATATAGTAGCAGTTAACTCACATCAATACACAATGTTAGCTTTTCTCCAGTTGTAAAGGCATCATAAATGAATCAAACCCAAATGATGTACCTTTACTCATAAAGAGGCTCTAAATTTTGGAATTTCTAGGCCATAAATAACAGGGTTATACCTCCAGGTCGGGCAGGAAGTGGATGGTTTCAGGCAGCGTTACCAGGCGGTTCTTATTTAGGACCAACTTCTTCAGCTTGTCACATCTAAAAAACAAGAAGCCAAACGTTCAGAGAGAGTACAAATAATAATTCCAATGAATGCATGTCTTTGTCTGCAGTTTACCTGCAGAGGCCCTCAGGAATGAGCTCCAGGTTGTTGTTAGCAGCCATGAACTCGGTGAGGCTAGCTAGTTTGCTCACACCTGAAGGAAGCCCATCGAAGTCCAGTTTGTTGGAATTAACGTACAGCTTCTTCAGCTTGGACAGCTTGCAGATAGCAGACTGATTGGAGAAAATACAAACATTTCAAGATGGTTTGGTTTCCACAGGACTTTAAAAGAAGTGGCTGTCGTCCTTACGGGCAGCGAGGTGAGCTGGTTTCGACTCAGGTTCAGCGTCTCCAGCTGGGTCCACTGGTCGATGCAGAGGGAGAGTTCGGTGATCTGATTGCTGCTCAGGTTGAGTCTCTTCAGGCTGCTCAGGGAGTACAGGCACTCTGGGACCCGGGTCAGGTCGTTACAGGACAGATCCACATCTGATGGAGAGAAAGAAACTAGTGAGGAAGGAGCAGAACCTGAAGATGTAATTCCACAACCTGGAATGAAGCTTCTCCTATACTTTAAGGTACATCCAGAAATACCATTTCCATACAAGTAGCTTTAGCATAAAAACAGCTCGTTTATTGGTTACCTGCTAAGTTAGTCAGTCCCTCCAGGCTGGTGGGCATGTTGCTCTGCGTCCTCTGGGTGTTCCTCAGGTGAAGCGTCTGTAAAGCAACCATGGCTGGCAGCTGCCTGCTCAGAAACACACACCAGAGCAGCTTAGGCTCGAGGTCAAAACACAGGCTGACCGTCTACGAGCATCAGAATAAGAAACAGCAGTGAGGCTGTGTTTTACCGCAGCTGTGCGTGCATCAGCGGGTTGTTGTTCAGAATAAGGGTCTGCAGGTGCACTAGGCGTCTCATCTGGGGTGGCAGGCTGTCCAGCTTGTTGTCGCTCAGGTCCAGGTACAGCAGGTCTGTGAGGTTGATGAACAGCTGGTTGGGGATGGAATCGATGCTGTTGTGACTCAGATTCAACACCAGCATGTTCCTGCTGTTCTCCAGGTCCCTGGGAATCTCAGTCAACTGATTGTAGCTCAGATCCTACAGGGGAGAATAAAGAGCAATTACCCATTTGGAAAGCAATAGAAATACCAGTACAGGTTCCATTTGCTGCTATGGTTTCTCACCAGCACAGAGAGGTCCTCTAGCTGAAAGATGTCATCTGGGACTCCAGAGTTTTTAAGGCTGTTGGCTCTGGCTACCACTGCCTACAGCAAAGAAGTGGTAGAAAACATGTCAGAAAGAGACGACAATCGGCCCAAACAGAAACAGGGGAAACAAACAAGACTGGTCTTTGACCCCATTTTCTTAAACCATAGCAAGGTGTTAGTCTGGTTTAGTTACCCGCAGGTTTGGTAAGCTGGAGAGATCGCCATGTAAGGTGGTCAGACTGTTGTGACTCACTGAAAGATGCTCCTGAGGACAGAAAAATAACAGGTTTTATTATATCTTCAAGATATGAGGTCAGCCCATATATCACTCTAAAGCTGCAAAAAATGTGTTCAGATAGAAAACAATCTATCTGAACAGCTGGTTAGGATTCTGGTGATTATGCAACATGGACAAAGAAAGATATTTAAACGACAACTCTACCGTTTTATCTTTTTTTGACTTTCAACAGCACTTAAAGTATTTAAAATGTTAAATATAACAGGCATGTCTAGTTGTCCTACTCATAATTTTATGCTATGAGTTCTAATATCAAATTAGCATTTAATTTAATATCCTTCAAATGTCACTACAGATCAAGAAAAGAAAGCTTAGGAATAATATCTTCATTGTTTCTGGCTTACTTTGGTTCTTCCAGGTGTATTAAGAAACCCAATGATTCTGTTTTATGGCAAACCATCAATGCATTCAATCACACCTATTGATGTCCACATGGAAACAATAAAACAACTTATTTAAACACCAAAAAGTAATAAGTTCAACTATTGTGCCACTTATGGGGTTTTAAAAATATTATCAATTATTATTTTTTTAATCTTATAGATCTTCAGGTCAACAAATACAGTCATGGTCAAAAGTATTGAGAACAACACAAACATTATATTTTCTCATGACCTGCTCCCCTCTGGTTTTCATGTGTGTATGTCAGATGTTGTCATCTCATACAGAAATACAACTGCAATCTTATTATGAGTAACAAAAGCTTTTAATGACAGAATGAGCTACATGCAGAAAGTCAATATTTGCAGTGTTGACCCCTCTTCTTCAGGACCTCTGCAATTCTCCCTGGCATGCTCTCAATCAACCTTTGGACCAAACCCCAACTGACAGCAATCCATTCTTGCATAATCAATGCTTGCATTTTGTCAGAATTCCTAGGTTTTCGTTTGTCCACCCGTCTCCTTATGGTTGACATCAAATTTTCAATGGGATTAAGGTCAGGGGAGTTTCCAGGCCATGGACCCGAAATCCTCTATGTTTTGTTCCCTGAGCCAGTTAGATATCACCTTTGCTTTATGGCAAGGTGCTCCATCATGCTGGAAAAGGCATTGTTCATCACCAAACTGCTCTTGGACAATTGGGAGAAGTTGCTCTCGGAGACATTCTGGTACCATTCTTTATTGATGGCTGTGTTTTTAGGTAAGACTGTGAGACAGCCAACTCCCTTGGCTGAGAAGCAACCCAACACATGAATGGTTTCAGGATGCTTTACAGTTGGCATGAGACAAGACTGGTGGTAGCGCTCACCTCGTCTTCTCCAAACAAGCCGTTTTCCAGATGTCCCAAACAATCGGAAAGGGGATTTATCAGAGAAAGTGGCTTTACCCCAGTCCTCAGCAGTCCACTCCCTCCACCTTTTGTAGAATATCAGTCTGTCCCTGATGTTTTTCCTGAAGAGAAGTGGCTTCTTTGCTGCCCTTCTTGAGACCAGGCCTTGCTCCAAGAGTCTCTGCCTCACAGCGCGTGCAGATGCACTCACACCTGCCTGCTGCCAGTCCTGAGCAAGCTCTGCACTGCTGGTAGCCCGATCCTGCAGCTGAAACACCTTTAAGAGACGGTCCTGGCGCTTGCTGGTCTTTCTTGGGCGCCCTGGAGCCTTTTTGGCAACAATGGAACCTCTCTCCTTGAAGTACTTGCTGATGCAATAGATTGTTGACTGAGGTGCAATCTTTCTAGCTGTGATTCTCTTTCCTGTTAGGCCATTTTTGTGCAGTGCAATGATGACTGCACGTGTTTCTTTAGAGATAACCATGGTTCTCAAGAAAAACAATGATGCCAAGCACCAGCCTCTTTTTAAAGTGGTGTCATTCTTACTTAATCATGACAGATTGATCTCCAGTCCTGTCCTCATCACCACCCACACCTGTTAATGGAGCAATCACTGAAACAATGTCAGCTGGTCCTTTTAAGGCAGGGCTGCAATGATGTTGAAATGTGTTTTGGGGGATAAAGTTCCTTTTCTAGGCAAATATTGACTTTGCAATTGATTGCTGTTACGCTGATCACTCTTTATAACATTCTGGAGTTTATGCAAATTGCCATTATAAAAACTGAAGCAGTAGACTTTGTAAATATTAACATTTGAATCATTCTCAAAACTTTTGGCCATGACTGTAGATCGTCTGCATAGAGTGCAAGCATTGGTAAACTTCCTAAATAGAAGCTAATCTCTCTTGACCCTGATTCATTTCCCATTTCTCCAAATCTTTAAAATCCTTTATATGTGTATAAAACAGGTTTTCATGTCAAGTGCAGTTTATAAAATTATGACTTCGTATGTTAGTAAACCCATTTTAACCTTTACTTTATCTGCTAACAGGTGGTGGTTCCTGATAAACGTAACAATAAGCTTGCAGGATACTCTGAATATATGCAATGATGATCTCAAGAGACCTTAGTGACACTGTTCAAAAAGCCAGAAACATCCTGGCTGACCTAAACTGTTGATCCAAGTCTTTATTATGATTGCTAGTGAAGATTCTCAGTCATCCAGGTCATAGACATTCCAAAAAAGTTTAAAAAACAATCCACTATGGAAGAACATGTCTGCAAAAGACCAGAACTGAGTATGTAAAGAAATTATTGATTTAAGCAGCTAAAAGCATCTGCTTTGTGAGATCAAGAAAAATACTTCACCCTCACAGGCAGTGCTTTAGTGAAATCACCGCCTGTCTTTGCATCTGCATACCATGAAACAGGACTGATATAATTTTACAACCACAAACCTTAGTGCATTTCATGAGGATTTCCAAAAAAAAAAAACAAGCACTGAATCATGCACTCCTTTGCCATACACTTGCTTCCAGTCGCCTTTACCTCAAAGCCTCTTGATAAAATTCAGTGCCACCAGACGCTATCAGAGGTCCGCAAATATTATAGGCTGCATCTTCTCAACCGTATATAAATAGTAGAAAACTAACTGTGGTGGCAGCATTATGCTGTGGGATTTATCAGCAAGGTAACAGAAGCTGGTCACAGTTGATGGGAAGAAGAAGGGAACTAAATACAAGAAGTTTGTGGAAAAATAATTGTTGAAGGCTTCTAGAATTTTTTGTGTTTTTTTTCATTATTTAAAAGATTATACAAATAAAAAAAACAAAACATGTTTCTTTTTCCTACCACTTCCAAGTAATTAACTTGTTTTTTAAGGTCCTGTGTATACAATCTAATCTTAGTGTATTATAGAGCAAATGACTGTAACAACAAAATATGGACAAAGGATTGCAGAAATATTGAATTGATCAAGTAATCACTGATTAAAAAGAAAAAGATCCCTCCTTCTGACCGCATCAGTAGAGCCCTTAAAAGCTCTTCACTGAACATGAGTCTAATTAAATATTTAAAACAGCATCTCTGCAGATATGCTCATTGTGTATTCTAAGCATAACATAACCGCATTAAGCTGCTAGAGTAGAAAGGGAGGAAAGGGCTCCAAAAATGACTATTTCCACCCCCTGTACTGAGCTTTGAAGGATGAGGGCAGGGGGAGAAAAAGTTGGATGTTATAATTTCTTCATTATATGCAATAAAAACACCAAAAAAATGTCTCATGGCTTTTAACATCAGGTGAAAACTATGGATCTTTCAAACTCAAGGCTTCTTGATTCTCTCTATAGAGCAGGGGCCCAAAATCATTGAATGTTATTCTAAGCCTTTACTGATAATAAACATGATGACAAAACTAACAACAGAAAGTCAAAGGTATGCTAGAAATGCAAACAGAGATGGCACTACATACATGTACAGAAAATGATTCTGCTCATTATACTCCTGTTAATCAGGCTAAGATACACCTGTACACACAGCTGATAGTCTGGGTCACCAGACTATTTCACTGTTTGTTTGTTTTTAGTTGGAAATCGAAAAGTTATGGATACCCTGCTGTGGAGGAACAAAGAAATGACAACCTCTCCTTCAAAGTAAGGGCACATACTTAAAATCTCCACAGTCACAGTGAGAGAGGTCCAACAGGATTTATACCAAGAACTTTCTGACTGGTAGACCAAAACACCAAGCCCTATTACAGAGAATTCATACATGAACCAATGTTATATCAACTCTTTGTTGTGATTTGGCATAAAAGTTAAATAACTTACCAGCTTCTGGAGAGAGGACAGCTCCTCTGGGAGGTAACAGAGTCCTGTCCTGTTCAGCTTCAGCCATCGCAGGCTGCTCATAGACTTGACATCCTCAGGGAAGTATCCTCCCTGCAGAGACAGTAAATAAGGAGAGCAACAGAGAACTGAGTAATTAACCTGGGCTTAGTTGTTAAAACTGTTCAGTTTAACAAACAGAAATTTCAGAACATCATACTTTAATCTTGATCAGACAGGATTAAGGAAATCAGGCTTAATCCTTAATGTGTTGACAATACAAAGGTAAAATAAAGTTTAAACAGCTGATTGTTACAAGGGTTATCTAACGCTGCTCACTAACAAGGGTTGTGGATTTCCATGTGAAGGCAGACTATTGAGCAAAAATTCAAAATAAGTATTTAATTGTCAGAGTGCATTATCTGATCCCAAAACAAAACAGAAATAGAAACGGTAAGCAGAGCAGTTAGATGTTTTATGTGGTGGGATACTGGGTTTGGATAGAACTTAGGGGGAGTTTGGAACCAAAAACTCTTTACAGAAACTTTAAATCCTTCAGTTTTCTGAGGGAGGGCTGTGGATTAAAACCTTCAGCTCACAGGTGTGAGTTCTGCTCTGTCATTATCACTGACCTGATGGTTTTTAATCACATGCAACAGCTATCATCCCCAGTCCTGGTCACTAACTATTTTGGCCCAGAGAATCTGGTGTTATGGACCCAAGTATTTCATGTTGGACTGATATTCCATCTCCAAAGAAGAGCTTTTTCTTTTGTTTTTTAATCAAGTCAAGCTATAATGAGATCTAAAATCCTGTATCTGATCAGCTAAAACACTTCTGTAGTCTTCACTAAGACGGTTAGGAGATGAAACTTGGAGAGACTTTGAGGTCCAGTTAATCTGCCGCTGATAGGATGTCTCTAATCTGTGTGCCAGATTTCCTCTCTAATGTGGTTTATTTGGATTTAGGATGATTATCAGATTATTTACAATAAATGCACCTAAATCAAACAGGGATAATGTTTTATTTTTTTTTAAACCAGACATTATTCACACCCCCCGCATCTCATTCAACCTGCATATTCCCATAACTCGTCATGTGTGTCAATTAAGGCAAAAATCCTCAAAGCTCCAAATTAAAATTCCTTAATTTGAGCATGAAATATTTAGTTTTAGCAAATATTTTAATAGGTGTATTCATCTAAATAATCCATAACCTATGGCTCACAATAATCTCAAATTTACAAAATATGGTTAAAAGAAGTCGTCTCACTTTGTGAGGATATCTTGCAATGTGATTGTTTTTCAAATTCTTCAACAGAACGGCAAACACAATATTTTAGAGAATAACCAATCCAACTGTAATGTTGCATTAAACCAGCTGAGTTGATGCTTTTAGATCTAAAATAAGAAAGCCTAAGCAATAAAAATTATAATAAAGGAACCCTGAGGTGAAAAGAAAACAAAACACTTCTTCACATTTACCAAACAGCATCCTGAGGAGCCCAAAAAAATTAAGATAATCATTGGAGGAAACAGTCAAACATGGTGGTGGCAGTGTGATGATCTGGGCCAGCTTTTTGTGCTTTGATATTTTTCTACAGTTTGAAAAAAAAAAATCTGTTCTTTAGCAGATAATCCTGGATATGTCCAGCCATCAGTTGTTGAAATTGGGCTGAAAGTACTTTTGGATTATCAGGCAAAACAAACAAGTTCACATCTTCATAGCTTTAAAGAATTAGGGCTCTGGTTCACACTTTTTCAACAAACATTTCTAAAAACCTTCTAACTTTTTGGCGACCTTTGACGTGGTGAACCTTAAAGCTCACAGAATGAGGTGTGAAGGAATCGTGATATTTTGACCAACCCCTTTTACTAAAAAAAAAAAAAACAAGTCAGGACAAACAGTAGCCATGACAACACTGGTTGATTTCAATCACTCAACCTGCTCCTCAAAGTTCAACAAACTATACGATGTTATCTAAGATATGTCTAAATCTGCCCCAGTTTGACTGCAGTTAAAAAAAAATGTATTGATGCGTAACATGGGACCCTGAACTAAAGGCAGCTAAAGTTAGCTAAAAGTAAAGCTAAATTAGCAGGGTGACGTGATGGTGGAAGCAGCTACTTTGACCAAAACTACATTCAACCAGAGGCTAAAAGAAAGCTTTACACAGGTTATTAATCAAAACACAGTTTAGAGAAAATAACAACTACGAAGCCAAAGGTGACCGACATAGGACGGCTACTTTGTCATTTTGACAACTGGCTAACGCCCAATGCTCCCAACGTTCATCTACAGCTTCTGTTTTAGCCATTTGTTACCAATTCTTAGGTCTAGCTAAAAAAGCGGGTAAACAATCACCGATATAAAGCTAATTAAAATTAATCAGATATCCTTACTTTAAAGTCGTTTCCACTGAGATCTACCCCCCTGATGAAGGGAAGAACTCCGGTGGCAGCCATTTCTGACTAGCTGATGTCAGCTCCTCCACCCTTAACTGTCTATTTTGGTAGGAAAGGAAAGAGGGTTGTGGCTATTCTTCTTTCTGGTTTTGGCATCGTCTGAGGACCGCTCATTACTGCTCCAAGCGGTAAGGAGGTTCGGTGTTTAATAGATTCCGGTGACGGTGTCAATGAGCCCCCTAGTGGCAGGGTAATGAACATAATTTAAACTTCGAAAACTTAGACAACTCGTATCGTCATTTAGAGAACAAACTGTCTCATAACATAGAGCATACATGTGCCAAATTATATTTTAAACCCATTTAAAAAAAAGTGTTACAGCTTAATTTATCAGTTTTATTGAAGTTTTAATTCTGAATTAATTAAAACCAGTAATTTTCATTTAAAATAAGTCAAAGATATGCAATATGCCTGAATATAAATGTATATTACCTAATGTTCCAAATGTTTTGTTTTTTTTTACTTTTGGGTAAATAAAACCAACATTATCAAACCAGAATTACAGATTTTTATTAGGAACAAAACAAAATCCTAGCTAAGCTAAATGACCAGGACATATAATTTCATTCAGTGCAGAACCACAAGTAGCTCTATGATTCTGCAACTTTCTTAACATATTTTAACTGATAAACTATTTCACTGTTTTTTTTTTTGTTTCATACTTTTCTGGACCCACACTTATGGAGGACCAGTCCTGCCATAAATGTAATCCATTGTTGAAATAATAGATTGAAATTGACATTAGTGAGTCATTAGGTGCAACATACTGATAAAAATGAGAAATGTAGGTAAAGACGGATACATTACTTAGATATAAATATACATATAATTTATTTTAACTGTTCTATTTTATCTCTGCTCTTTTATTCTTACAGCATTCCGGTAAAAAGCAAATGACCGAATCTTAATTGTTTCAATAAAGAATAGGAAAGACAGAGATAGAATTTTGAACAATTTGGATGGCGTGGAAAGATGAGTTTCTGTTTTATTTTAAGTATCTTAAAATGTTAATAGAGCCCCTCAAACTAAATGTGTCTCTTTAATATCAGAATATATATTATTACAAATTCTGACTTTAATCTCAGAGTTCTGACTTTTTTCTCAGAATTCTGACTTTAATTTCAGAGTTCTGAATTTTTTCTCAGAATTCT